ACTGTTTGCTCTCAACATTTACTGGCATTGGTCTCTCAAGGGACGTAGAAATCATGGTCACAAATCTACATGTAACTTTTAGCCATAATTTGTTTTTATAAAGATAAAGTAGAAGTAGGATATGAACTTGTGTTTGACAGGACATTTAGTGCAATGTTGTGATGCTATCACAAACCCTAAAACAATTTACTAGCAATGCTAGAATAATGAAGTAAAATGAAAACATGTAATGTTCTTGCAGCTATGAAAGTATGATCAAGGTTAATTGAGATGTTCTGGTATAGATAGATCTCTCAATATATACTCATCCTAGATTGAATACCAACATGCATGAATGTTGTATGCCATGTTGAACATGTACTCAAGCTGTCATGTAGTGTGTGTGAAACATCAATGATGCATTTTCGTATGTTGTGACTGTCTTGAATGGATCTAAAAGAGAGCCAAGAAAAACAATCTCTTAATCACTCCCACTCGTACTGTGCTGACTGACTGGAGAACTTGAACGTGCCCTGTAGCGCTGCGCTTGTTCATCATGACATGAGAGCTAGCTGCAACATGAATGAATGAATGAACAACTCTACTCTTTGTGCAAACAATGACAGGATCAAGAGGGCAGGACAGGACAGACGGGGGAAAAGACATCAGCATCAGGGCAGAGAGCGACTAACATTAGGCCTGTCCTCATCAGACCAAAGTTGCAAAATAACCCGCAGTTTTCAGACTCTGGATATTTTCCTGAAGCTCGAAATCGCGTCCTCACCAGACCGATACGCTCATCACAAACTAGATGAAGACATGATCAATTTAGCCTGCTATTTTCCAAATAGTGGGCTATTTTGGAAACAAGACCAAGATTTCTTGGGATATTTTCTCGACCAAATAGTCCGCCAATTCCAACTTCAGGCTGATGAGGACACAAATTAGCGGGTTATTTTGCAACTTCGGTCTCATGAAGACGGGCCTTTTGTAGCCCTGGAAAGCTCCAAAGAGTTGTGCAAAAGCACTGGAAATCGCAGCAATGTTCATGTTACCCGGTTCACATTGTAAAACTGTGAATGGCTCTCTTATCCCTACTCATTATTAAAATAGAAATGTGCATTGTCATCAGGAGGCAAAGATAATCAATCAGTATTTCATTTTTGTAATATGAAGGATATTGATTGAGCATAACCCTTTGAAATCAAATACGTCTCAATGAATATATATGGTGAGCAGAGGCAGAAGCTAATTCTTTACAAGAAAAGGTATTGCTTTGTGATCCATATTAGCTAGTTACCAGGATAATGTTATGTTTTAAATGATGACACTGCACCATGAAATTAATGAGGTTATTGAAATCATACATGAAAAAAGTATTATGTACACATGTACATGTAGTATCCCAAGTCCCTGGTGCAAGTATGTCCTGGCTCTATATACATGTAGTGCACAATACTAAACTTTGCGGCCATTAAAAAAAAAGAGTTTGAACAGAATAGGTTCAGTGAATCATTTGGGTAGATTCCTTAGAGTTAGAGCCATTGCTACTATACAATTACATGTAGGGAAGCGATACAAATTCATAGATTCATATGCCAATGGATGAACTACCATGATATTGTTTTGAATTTGTCAGGGGGGATTGGTTATAGAAGAGAAGATGTTTGTGTATGTATATTGTCAGTTTGGATCCATAAGGGTGTTTACTCATGTACATGTACATGTACGTTAATGCCGTTCTGGCTCTGAACAGATCTGAAGGCTTTATGATTTAGTGATGAATATACCATGACCAAGAATGTCTGTCTGAACTTGAAGATTGGTTACTCTTTAGCATCCTTCATGGAGTATAAAGTCCTCTGACTTGTACAGAGTAAAATGAAGACCAGACTGGATGCCACTACCAAACCAACCAGTCTCTGTGTACATATATACTGGCTGTGGTATATGAGCTATCATTTGGTGGGCTTGCTCAACGTTTCCTAACCGGTCGGAACACAATCACGGCGGCAGCACTCTCGTTCTCACTGCCCTCACTTCATCTCTCTCCTCATCTTCAATCTCAGGCATGCATTGGGAATCTGACCTCATTATATCTCCACCTTGTCTTGCCTTGGCTCTGCTTGGCTTGGCTGGCTAAACACTTACGGTGCTTTCCGATTTGTTTCCATATCAGAGGGATTATAGATTACCATGTTACCTTATCAAGTGATTCACCCCTCTTCAGAGGCAATAGTATTCTGGTTTAATTAGAATTATAGCAGTAGGATAAGCCTTCTGATGCTAATGTCTTTTATATTTATTAGAATTTAATAGAAATATATGACCATTTTTTAAACATGTTTAATCTATTAAAAAAAATTACATGTATTAAAGGGATCGTTTAACAATATTAAATCTGAGATACACGGCCCTACATGTTATCATTGTCTGTGATATGGTGTAACATTGAAGCCCTAAAAAAATGCGCTTCATAATGATTAAGAAGTGCCTCAAAAAATGTAAAAATCTTTGAGTGGCCAGTTTTACCATATTCGTTTTCCCCAATAGACTGTAGTGTTATGAAAACCGTTTACCATAGTAAATGGTTTTCAAAATTCATAACTCCAATCATAAATATCTTGATAATTAGACAGGCGATCGGCTTGTAAAAGTCATGGGGTTTCTGACTGACCTAAAGGTTTATAATTATCATTGCAGCATGAGCTAAATCCAGAATTTTGTTTCAGAATCTGAGACAAAGTTACCTAGTCCCTTTAAGTTACTGAGATATTTTTTACTAGAGAGCATTAACATTTACTCTAAAAGCGGCCAAGCCAAGTTGCATTTTATACTATGTGTTGTATACAACTATAAACCTTTCACTGTCCATATTTTTTGTGTAAAAATTTCCTCTAAACACCTTATTTTTCATTCATACTTGAATATTTCTTATTTGTTTTAGAAAAAAAATATTGTGATTTTATGAATCACTGCGTGTTACACTTTCTGGATGTTTCATCCAGAGGATTATCCTTCTGGGAAAGAGGGGAAAATCTCATTATAATCTGTTTTCAAGATTTTTCAGTTATGGCATGGAAAATTACGGCTGCATCAATATTTATGGAAAACAAGCAGACCGTATTTGACTGACAACCATATCTACATTGTACGTTGTCTTCATAAAAATTGTATTTTTGTATTCATTATTTCATCCATGTAGGAGCTTTTTCCTATTTTTTTCAATCACATGATATAACTTTTTTCTCTATATGATTGAAATTGTACCACCATCATTTCAGTTGGTGATTGATTCCTTTAGTAGATTCCTGATATTTATCACTGACTTCCTATCATTAAAGTGACTTGATGGTACCCGTTTCCCCCTCATGAACACAAATGGTATGACATTTACAAAGCACAAGTACCATGGTTCGAGAAAACATTCAATTATTACTGCTTCTGTGAAATCACATGAAACAAAGATCATCTGCTCTTTTTATCAAATGAATTGTAATAGAGCAGTAGACTACAGTGTAGGTACGGGAGATTCTGGATTCAATTCCATGTTGTAGTACTTGTGCCCTTTAGTAAGATATAAATGACCAAGTCCCTCACAATGGATTTAAATCCATACATTGGGTCCACTGCTTGCTTATCAACAAGCACAAGCACATTGTTGTTTTCTTAACAAACGGCTGAAACTGAAATGTTTTACTCTCTGTTGGTATCATAGATACATCACTTGGATTGCATTTTGTAACCACTGATATGAACTAAGTAAGAGTTGCCATAACGACGATGGGATATTAGTATAATGACTCCAGATTGTTTGCAGCCAGTGATACTGCAATATTAATGAGTATCGTTGGTAGATTGTCACTTCATTTGTAGGTGCCTTTGTGTTCGCAGCGGCCTCAAGACTTCATTGAATAAGTAACCTTCAAGTGGTATCGCTCATTTAGCTCTGCTGATAATGAAGAAAAGTGTAACATTGTGATGTCTATAACAGCGGATTAGAGCCAGACACATGAAGTGTTGTCTTATTATTATGATTATTATGTTTTATTCCTCCTGATTATTTTGATTCATATGATCAAGCAGGGGATGAGGTATTATATCGTTGACAAAAATCACAAGAAACGAAGATCAATTTTAGCAAAAAATCTTTAAAGAATAACAAAAATACAAAAGATAATTTCTATAAAAAAATCTCAATTATTTTTTTAGACAGTTTAAAAATAGGCTTTCCCATATATATATACAAATAAAGAACTTTTACACTCAAGACATTCTAAAAATTATTGATTATGTAAAGCAGGATGCCAAATCCAAACCCTAATTAATATCCTGAATAAAACCATCTTCTCCCACAATGTGTATAATAGGGATGTTATCGGAGGTATAGTTACAGGATGTGGTAGTGCATGATACTGCTGCATCTGAGTAGTAGTTCTCAAGAGGCTGATGGCAATGATATGTTTATGTCCTTGAATACCCATTTCTCGTAATGTCCCGTTCAACAATAGAGCCGCATAACTAATAATGCCTATACTTTGAAAGAAATATAAAACCTGCATAAAGGTTGCAAATGATTTTAACAATCAGCTCTAAGCTTGGCAGTATTGTAGTGGACTCGTGTTGTGATTACATAAGATCAGTAGTAGTGTTTACACATTTCACTTGGTGATGCGCTATATGTATGTAGGCAATAATTCTACTTCCTGGATCCTGATTGGCGATTAATGTAAAACCAGAAATTAGCGCAAAATGGAACTTGGCAAAATGTCAATGGCAGCCATTATCATTTCTACACACTTACATGAATTGCACAATTTTATGTAGTGATGCATTGATAATGCCGCATAATTTGTTTTAGAATCTTGACTACTTAGTACAAAAACTATGGTATCTGCTAATGTTTGTGATCATATTTTGTGTGCAATCAGGATTTTATAATGTTTATCTTATGTTTTCTCTTTGATATTTCGTCAAGTATTGACAATTATTCCTCTCTATTTTGTCCTTTCTTTTTACAGGTGACTTGATGATGAGTCTACTATGGTACTACAGACCTGAACATACTGAGGCAGGCAGACTCAAAACACATCTAGAGGTAAATCTTAATCTTTGATTTCACGCTGGTATTAACGGCATTGTGTAATTCAAGACCAACTCCTATATTACGGTATATCATCTCTACCCCTTTCTCTCTTTTTTTCTTCTTGATTTTGACACTTCTCATGAAATGACCACACCTGTAACATGGGTTCATGGTTTCTCAGATGATTACTTAAAAACATAGATATTTATGAGTTTTCATGATATACATTTATCGGGGAAAAGTATTTATTTGATGACTCCTAGAAATTGACTACCGGTATGTCTTTTCTGTCAACGGCATGTCATTTTGTTTTAGATATAGTGAAACAATTGTCCATATTAGATATTTTGAAATAACATTTGCATATAAAGTGATTCATTAATGTGCTGAAAATTGTCTGCATGGAGCCCCCAAAAAGGTTATTACCCTCGGATGAAAGATACGATCTCTTCTCCTTCTCAGCTGATGAAATATTCATGTGACGTTGGCACTGGTGAAGGTTTTTCATTAATCATGCAATGTTTCATGCTTCCAGTATCTATGTTGACAAAATGTAGTGATTGAGTGAAAGGGAGGTTCAGTTAATATAACATGAGTGCGTGATATGTGAGGGAAGAACATGGTGACGTGTACTTTTTTTCTTCTTCTTACTGTGAATGTTCGAGACAGAAAGTGAAAAAGACATCCTGGTTATAATTATCCTATTATTTCATGAATCTTGACTTTCGTTTTATGTTCATCCGTCTTCCTCTTTTAATGTTTTAATTCATTAGAATTCATTAGAATAAAGAAAATTGGATTTAGGATTTTCACACTTTTCTTTCTCTGTATGTTTTCATGCTCATTCCCCTCTTGAAGATGACATCACATTTGTTTTTCCAATTTTATTTAGTTAGACATGAGAATTATGTACTTCAAACACATTGGTAACATCTGGGGTATGGGGTAGTTATAAATAAGATTTATTTCTCAATGTTATGATGTAGGCTTCAGCTTTCAATCAAGGACATTTATTGGGACGATGTCACTCGTTCTCTTTTTTACACTGATGATGAGTGCGAGTGGATATTCCAACATCTGACATTTATATGTTTATCAGAACTTTAATTTTCTAATGCTGCTTATTCAAACTTGATCCTAATGGGAATATTTTGTATTCTTCCTGAATCCAATATTCGTGTCAACTGTTTCCCTTGGCGATTTCACTGTTAAGTAGATTGCCTAGATGAAATAACACACCACCTACGCTGAAATTCAAGCAGTGTCCTAGCCTACTGCTCAGGTGCTAATGCTGGTCAGTTAGTTCCATGTCTTGCTTTCATACCAATTATTGTATTTATTTACATTTTTTGAGAAAGAGTTATCATTCAGTCTTGAGAGCTACTGATAAAGAGGCCAGAAAAGTCCAATGGCCAGCCTGAAAGCCAACCTTTTTGAAGGGTAATTCTTATAACTACATGTAATTGTATTAGCAGAGTTATGGGTCTGATATTTCAAGTGTAGCCTTGTTATGAAAGAAAATATCTAATTTAGATGTATACTTGTCAATATCGTGATATAATTCCATGTGTGAACAGGACGGGATGTGTCTCTTCTTGTGCACTTCTCTTATGGTACATTGTACATGTATTTCTCTCATGGTACATTTTTTCTCTTATGGTACATTACTCTCCTTAGTGTGCATTTCGCTCATGGTACATTGTATTTTATGCAGATGTAAGTTCATTTGAAAGGTCATTTGATGTGAATAAATGAGGAAGGAAAGAGTAATCCTTGCTATCAGTCATCTGCTGTTTAACTTAATCACCTCATTACGCCCATTGTGAGGGAAATGGTATTTTCCCTAAGAACCACAATAATCATAGCCAACATTTCAGACGGCTCAGTTCTCAATCTGCAGGAAATCTCTTCCTCAATAAAAGATTTGGCAAGGTTGGACATCCAGTGTTGTCATTGTGACAGCGAGAGAATACACCTTCGTTGCAACTTTGATGAAATATATATTTTGAGTATTGTTAAATTGTGTTACATTACATATGAGCCATTCCATGTATCATGAAATAATCTACAAATCAGGCTGTCATTTTTCTTTTCTTGATATAATAAATCAGTGACCACTTTTCACATCACTCTTTTTCTGATAGAGACCAAAGCCTTAAGCTATAAACATGACCTTACGAATGAACGAGAAGAGTTGTTAGAAGCTGAATAGTGTCTGTCTACTGCATACAGTAAGACAAGTTATTGAATTTAGTTGACACAGATCAGCCGAATACACCTATCTCTATCCACCCTCGGTATACACTTCAGTACGATGGTGGCCATGTAGTAACCAATAAATGTCTATTGGAACGTAATATCAGACATGTAGAGAGCTCCTTGGTGAGTGCAAATTACATGTCACTGCAGCAACATTTAGACGTCTAATGGATCCCAGCTTCATAGCGGGTGTGCTCCTGCTAAAACAGGTTTACTTGAAGCTGTGAATCTCTGATGATTTTAGAGAAAGATTTGTTTTCAATCAAGAAATGTAATCTTTCAATTACTGTGACGTTCTTTCTAAACGCTGTAGGGTGTTTGTATTGCCGTCTGTAAATCTGGCTCAGGATAGTCAGGGAAATAGAGATTAGGGTTTACATTGTTTCTCACTAGGAAGCCTACGACAAATCAGCATTGATTACTCAATTAGTAAATTGATCTGTCATTGTTTCATCTATCCCTGACCCAAAGACATCCATGCAATAAGCTTCACCCTGGGTATTTAATCAATATTGATCAGTAGGCCATATCATTTAGACACTGTACATGGTTCCTTTCTTTGTTGTATTTTAATGATATTCACCTGGTCTACCTTACAAGCATCTTGTAGCAGGTAGGAAGTAGTGAAAATCAGATTGAATGTTGGATGTCGAAATCCTGAGATACCTTATCGCATAAATCCATGTCAATGTAGCTGATGATAAAGAATACAAGACATAATAAGATGAAGAAGGGAGGAGATATTAAAGGATGATTACAAAGAAGGAAAGACAAATAGATACAAATGGTTATATTAATGACCCAGCTTGTTTAGATAGCCCTTCTTGTACATGTATCTACCGGGCGTACAATTCCCACCAGTTGAGTTTTGTTGCAGAGGGCGTTACACAAAATAATTTTTTGTGAGATAATGAACAACTGAGTGTCAAGTTTGAAAGAACATAAAATTTAAATGACAAAATCATCTTTGTTTGATCAAAATTGGTTCAGAGACGGCTGAAATATCCATAAATATAACAATTTCTAGATAATTTGAAAAAAACGTTGAAAAAATGACATAGTGCCTTTTACGTTGTATTTCAGCCAATGCCGATGTTGGCTTTTTTGTTGGCATTTTCGTGTTGGTTATATTACGTACAACCAGCCGGCCCATGTATTGTTATTTTTAATTAAATAATTAATTAACGGTCACCATATTTTTTTTGAAAGTGGAGCTGAATTAGTATGATCTTATTGGCTAAATTTCACACATTTTGGGGTCTAAAATTACCTTCATAGCAATTTTAGGTCCTAAAAGGGCACTAGAAATGTCAAAGATAAGAATACGAGGAATAACCATGCACTTTGAAGGCATTTGCGGTCTGAAAACAGACCTCAGCTATCCTTTTAAAGATGATCAAACTATGTTTTATACTCCATGCTTTCAAACCCATAATACTGTACCAGGTATGATTTGATTCAATTTGTTCTGACTTTTACTTCTCTCAGAGCCTCAGAGTCGATGGTATAGAGATGGAATATGTATTGTTAGATACAAGAAATACTCTCCAAGAGTCTCCATGCTATAAAGTGTGCTCTATTGTTAAATTTGTGCATGCATGAACAACCAATAATCGGTTGTCATACATGTAAACTTTTTTTTTGTATTTGCAGTATTTGATATTTCCATATCAGTAACTTATCACTATGTATAAAGCATTGATAGATGGTGGATTCAAGTGGTTTTGTTAGGGGATATATATTTGCAAATATAAATGTATTTTAACCACGGCTGTCATCCATTGAAGTAATATCATAATAGTAATCAATTATTTTTTATTCATTTCCAAATGTACATTTTCATTGATATGTGCAATTGCATCATGCTGACAGAATATCTTTTGCTGAAGATAAATAAAGCCAAAATGTGAAGATATAAATGTATCTCAAGTATACTCAAGGCTGGCATGTTTAAAACATAAGTAAAGTGCCAAGCTGAGATACTATAGTATTTTGGCTGAATATCACAAGCACAAATTTGATGTAAGCATTGAGTGTCAGAAATGACAGGGGCTCATGACTTGGGCACTACTTATTAAAAGTGCAAGGACAACACGAGAGAGAAAGAGAGGGAGAGAGAGAGAAAGAGAGGGAGAGAGAGAGGGGGAGAGAGAGAGGGGGGGAGGGGGAGGGGAGGGGGGGGGGGGAGAGAGAGAGAGAGAGAGAGAGAGGTGTAGAGATGTAGGAAATGAGAGATGATGTGGGCGGGAAATCAGGATGAATATGAATATAAATGATTAGCAATTATGAATTGCTAAAGGGAATGAATAATTATTAGTCTGGATGGAGATACAGTGATGATGGCATCATAATAATACTTTATAGGGATGCTAACTAGATGTACAGACTGTCTGTAGAGAGTTTCATTCAAAATGGTGGAAGGAGAGATAGTGTCAGACATAAGGAAGGATAAGGGGTAAGAAGTCAAAAGGATGCAAAAATAAGAAGAAGATGAGACAGATGAGAGTAGACAGAAGGAACGTAACAAAATAGACCATGTCAAATAATAGCATTGCAGGAAAGACCAGAAGGATATGAGATTATGGTTTATGCACAGTTGCCATGACACATTACCCCCATCCATCCTTCCATCCATCTATACATCCATCAGCACTTGAAAGAGAGAGATCCAAATCACTTCACTCCTGAATTATGAATGATGTACTCAGCCATGGGCTAATCTCAAATCTACTGTAGTTGATGCTGTCGTGATGGGCAAAATTCATCTTTCCTCCTCAACCATGCATTAGAGATACGATTCATACATTTATTTCTGTTTTTCTCAACAAAAAAATTATTACTAGAATTCAAATCGGACTTCGATTTAGTTCTACCATGTAGATTATTAAACAAGCAAAAATAACTGAATATGTTAAATGCCTAGATAAAATATATTCACAATTTCTTTTTAGTAATTTTATCATCATGATTTATCTGATGTGCCTGGTGAAGTGTAGATACATACATAGTGTATTTATTCCCTCTAAGGACTGCATCAATGCTAATGATCGAAGTGCTGTGTTGCCAAGAGGCTGATGAGGTGTATGTGCTCTAGTGAGTGATTGAGAATGAGTAGGGTCAGATTTGTGCACAGAAGGGCCTTTTTCATGTCCTCCCTGAGTCTCTAGGTACCTGATTCTTCTCATGAAATTAATATATGGACTGTTTAGCTCATCCTTGTTCACAGTTTGTTCTGTATTCTAGTTTCTCAGCTGTTACCCTGAAGTATAAGTGTTGACTTCTCTGCTGTTCTTTCAGCATGTATGCTTTAGCTACCTATTCACTGCGTTGGAAGATGAATACTTATGATATGAATGTGCTGTATTTAAACCCAACTAAAATCCTACTACAATCCTACTACAATAAACTATGCCTTGATCATATCAGCTCTCCTTTCTCTTTCAGTTATGAAAATACAATTAAAACTAAAATCCTGCATACATGTTTATAATTGTATTATTTTTCGGACATAGCTAGATGTTTTTTTCTATTGCACTCATAGTAAATTTGATATTTCTTTTTGTTTTTCTACAGAATGAGATCTTTGCTTGTCGACACTGGGATATCAACAGCGTTGCATGCATCGAGGATAAATGCTATGTTGTCACTCTAGCTGAATACAACAGGTTTGTGTACAAATATCAATAAGTATTGATTTAAGGATTATGTGCTGCCTAACAGTGAGCCGTCAGTGTCAAGAGAGAGAGAGGGGACAGAAATAGTATGCCTTATTTATTAACACAAGGCACAGGGTCAGCTGTAGGGCTGAGAGTAAAAACCTGGTACCTGGCTCTTGCCTGAGAGCCTCTGGTTCCAGGTCAAAATATTAGATACCAGTTTCCCAAAATTGGATGAGGCAATGATGGGGCAATGAAAGATAAGCCCCTTAAAAGTCTGGTGAAATCCAAATATAAGTTGATTCCTGTTGATGTCCAGGGCTGCATACAAGTCATATTTTGAATATTTAAAAAAATAATTTTCTCAGACCTACTCAGCTCCACCCTAAAATAATGCTCCAGATCTCATTCCCTAAATGACATTATCTGTCAATCATTAGTGAGCTATGTATTATCATGTATTATGGAACCATAAACTCTTGTAAAGAAATGTATTGTCTATTCTACTACTGAGCTCATAGTTAGTTTTGAATTTAAAAAACAACTAAAACCCCCTGAGAGTTTGTATTAATTCTAAATGAGTAACCTTTAATTAATTCTGTTTGTATTGCATGCATGTAGGTTCTACTCCAAGCTAAAGATGACGATGGAAGGAATCCGTCCAGGAAGAAGCTATTTTCCTGAACCTCTGGAGAACTACCCCAGGAAAGATGCCATCCCACCTCCGGGTTTTGATCCTGATGCAGTATTCCTCTGTCGTCAGGTCTATGATTTTCGCCAACGTCGTGTTATCAAGAACCCATACTGATGGTCATCAATAACGCTTGGATCATACCTTGGAGATGATTGGACAACCTCTGTATCTCTGTATTACAACTCTTTTGCTTCCTGCAGGGTTGTTTAGACAGTCTTTTAATACCAAGATTTAAAAGGAGGAGGTCAATGTGATGCTTTAGATCTCAAAGTAAAGTACAGACAGGATTATCAAAATGCATAAATAATTCTAAAAATTGAGCGTATGGTTTGGTATTTCTCTCCTTCATTTTTCCTCTCATTGCTCTTTCTTCAGAGTGTATTTGGTCAGAAGAAGTAGGAGTCAGTGTTATATAAAATCGACCTCTTTTGTTAGTGTATGTAGATTCAGGGAGTTTGCAATGTAGTGAAAGGTTCTTAAAGCTGCGCCAGATATTCATTTGCTTGGCACTGAATCAAAGGCAGGGTCCGTTCTGTAGAAGAAGCAGTTCAACCTACCTTATATGGATTCTCTAAGCTATTGCACAAGCAGTTGATGCAGGGTCCAGAGAAAGTCCCTTCAAGGGTCATAAGACATCTTGGATGTGTTCAAAACCTCTCAAGAATTGATTCACCAATACCACCAGTCTTTAATCAATTTGATTGAACAAAATCCTTTCTTAAATGACTCAGCAAGTCTCCGTAGACAACTATTTTTATGATAATGACAAATAAATATTGATCAAAATGTGATATGTTTTTATCCTTTTGCTTAGAGTCAAGAACAGTGCATTCCAGGTATTTCCAGGAAAATATCACTTTTGGTAGATGTGATTACCAGATTTTTTTTGTTGTTTTCATTGTGAACACACATAGACTTTGTGTCCCAGAGAATTCTAATGAAAATTTGTTTGGTGCTGTACACAAATTCACCATATTCTTTCCCTGGAGTGTACAAACCTCCAACCTGGGCAGGGTTCTGTGCTTTAATAATCAATATGTTTGTAGTATAAGCTTGTAATCTGAAGATACATCAGACAAAAGGTAGCCTGGATGTTGTTGCATGAAACAAATTTAATTTTGAACTTATCGCACATAAATGAACAATAACAGAATTTTCTTTCAAACAAACATGATTTAGTAGCTGTTGAGATTTCATGAGCAATTGATTGGTGATTAATGTTGTGTGTCTTTCATCGAACCATGACAGTCTTGTAATTGTTATATTAATACACTACTATATTTTCAGAGGAAAACACCCCAACAACCACAATTCATAATAAGAGCATGAAACTTGCTCTTAAACTACTTGAAATATGCTTTTGATTGCCTTTAGTGGGGAGAAGTTATTTGATGCACATTGGACAAACAGATATCAATGGATTTTAATTAAAGTTTTTATTTCCTACATGTAATATAATCATGTGGCAATATAAATTATAAGTTTGTTTGACTCTTTAACTGGTGCTGATAATTCATGTCAGTATGGTTTACTGAGGCTTGTTATTGCTCTGAATAAGAAAAGTGTATCATTTTACATCTGTTTCATTACTTCCTGAATTAGTGAACTTTGTGATATACAAACTGATCAACTTTCCCTGGAAACCACTCAGCAAAACAAAACCAAAAGTTACTTTTAGCTCATCATCATATCATTTGAAATATTAATTCTTTATTAGGCTTCTAGATAACATATATTTATTGAGGTAATCAAAACTGTACAACTAATCTAGTTCAATTGAAGAAGAAAAAACATCTCTATGATACTGTTTCTTTTGTACTAAAAGATCTATTTGTGGATTACAAACTGTATCATTTTAGATTCATCCTAATATAAGAACAATGTGACTAAGTAAAGAGATAATTACCGGTATTACAGGTAGTTAAAATCCATAGATGATGGACTGTGTTTTTACTTTTTATGCTTTCCTAATTTTTTCCTGACAATCAATCTTTTGTATTGATATGCCAGTAAAATTCATGCAGCAAAAATTTCATTTTACTTGATTAATGTTTGTATGAGAAATGAGAGTATCATAATATAATTATGTCTGACTAGCTGTTTGTCAATTTATGTAATGATAATGTAATGGACTGAGAGAAAGAAATTTAAAAGTTTTATGCCAAAAGGGCAGGAGTATGATTTTAGAGCCATATTGCAAGCTTGTGTTTCGCCCTTGCCAGATTTGATGGTGAATGAAATAATGAAATTAACTGGACTCAAAACGGACTCAAAATTTATTGAGGTGCTGTCCAAAGTACTTTTATGTATATAGATATATATTTGATTGTTTTGTGCAACTTTCTTGTAAGATTTGCAACTTTCCTCCACCACGTTGTGCATTCATCAATAGACTCAGATTAGATAATTTATCATGTTAAATCATTTGTCACATTGTCTTCTCTCTCTCTCTCTCTCACTCTCTATCTCTCTTTATCTCTCCCCCATCTCTTTCATCACTCAAGTATTTATGGTCTTGTAAATACAAGCAAACTATATTTGAATCATTGTCTTCTAAACAGATGGTACATTGTCTATATTTTCTTTTCAGATTGTATTTTTATGTGTTTCACCGTGCATTGTTGCATTTTGGGAGAGGATATTAAGTGCCATGGAGAAAGAAAAAAATTGTCTTTAGAACAAAGTCAGTGTTGGTTGTATTTTTTGTGTAAAACCAATTTTTGGGCAAATATTTTGAGAAATATGAGGTTTGCCGTCATTGGTGCTGTTGATGATACACCCATGATTATAAGTTGATAAACACATAGTTGCGATTACGAGTGTTCACATGGATTTAAACTTTGTTTCATGTGATACCCTGTAATAAAAACTCTATTCATATTCTGCTTAATTTCCAGGGCTGGTTCACATATTGTATTTCTCTTAAGGCACTCATGCTTATGTTATTCTTACATTTTTTTGTCATAGAATTATTCAATAATGAAATATTTACAAAGATCTTATTGTATATTGGTACATTTTTATTTGATTTCCATTTCAAATGAATTGAAATTATTATTTATTCCACTAAATGGACATCAAGCAAAGGTTAAGGCTTGTATTTTGATTCAATTTGCACTCCAAAGTGGAGTAGATTTTATATTATCAAAAATATGGGTTACTAAAATGGGAAAATCTGTGTATGTACAGTGACCCATTGGGGGCAAAAAGTTCTATGAAGATATTGATAATGATGTTAGGGTTGATTTCAGATATATTTTCTCATGGGAGTACATGTATTTGCAAATGAAATGTTCTTTATCAGAATGTCATGCACCACGATCTTGACCTTTCTTTGCAAGTGAATAAGAACGGTCCCTGTGTATAATAGACATCGATCTGTCTTTCACAAACCTGTTACAATTTGGAAATTTTTGCTTATTTGTTGTTAAAGCATTGAGCTTTGCAGTGAATTGGAGAGCTTATCAAAGTGCCACTTTAACCTATTTTTTGTAGCAACCTAGGCAGAAAATAGCATCTCCATTAAAAAAAAAAGACTAAATGGTTCAGAAGAGTAGGAGCTCATTATAAATGGTAAAGAACAGTTTGATATAATTGGACTTATCTCATGATAATTTTAACCTGTGCAAATTAACTATTGATTACTTTGTTACCTTTCATGTGATTTAATGATTGACATTTCACCTTGTATTGAATATAATATCATGTAGAAGAGCTCCTGACCACAATTAGCTTTAAAAGAGTCCCACACATCTTTTATATGTCTCTTCAGTTATTTCAGTACCTCATTGTATTGCTTATAGAAATCATAATAAGATTAATAAAATATGTTTTGGAAACATAGTGCTTGACAAAATTATGAGATACAATTTTTTCTTCTTATTTAATTCATTTTTCTGTGATATTGTCCAACGTGAAGTTGATGTTAGGACACAAGTAAGGACTCTTGCCCTTAAATCTACTCTTTTGTTGTACCCCCTTCTACACCATTTTATTTTGGACAATAGTCATGGATGAACTTTCTGATAAACCGTTACTTTTTGTTTATAGTTAAATTGGGCATAACTATAAATACTATTGATACAAACTATATGATAGAGGTCAGTGTTTCAATGACTTTAAAACGTAAAGCCTCTTCACATTGTTGAATTTTTGACCGGATTGTCATCAACAGTAAGGAAGAAATTAAGATACCTGCCATTTTTAAACGAATCGACTTGAAATTTGTTTCGTTTTTATATTATGTTCCATTGGTTTCTACGAAAAACGTTTGTGTTCTCTAATTGTTCTCAAATTGTTCTCGATTCTAAGTAGAGGCAAGTTTTCAAATCGGAGTATAAAGGTAAGGTTTTTTCTACTTAGGTGTTTATGATAATTTTTGTTTAATATTCCATTATTTTGTTGTGTATTTGCTCACATTGAAATATCTTGGCATGGTCATGATGAGATAAAAATGTCTTCTATTTCACTTGTTCCATCAGAGGGCATTACACTCATATTGACTCTATTTTTCTTTCCTGTTTGGTGTAGGATCCACAAATATATTCCCAGTTCATAGATGCATATATGAAGCCTTGATATAGGATCCCTCTGTATTTTTCTTTTACAATATTGAAAGGATTAGGTGACAGAATTGCCCTTTTTTGTATAAACTTATTGCACCTTTTTGAAGAAAGGGAGAATGTTTCTACAACAAAACTATAACTATGTTTGCCATTGCCATACTTTGTTCTTTGAAAATTGACTTGAAAGCCTTCATCTTGTAAATATGACATCATGTGCTTTGACAAAATATAATCATAAATAGAGTATTGATTGTGTTCCTTTAAGAAAGTATATTGAAATAGTCCAAATATGGCACCTAAAAGATCTTTTGTTGTGTGAAATAATGTTGACCTTAAGGGTTATATATCAATATATTCAAGATGGTTATATTATATCATTGTATATGTGTGTTCATGTCTTGACAGATAAAAGAATAAATACTAGAAAGATGTGTTTGCTTGAAAAATGAAATGGCATTGTGTTTATTTCTTTAAGTCAATTGTCATATTCGAACCCCCTGCCATTTTTTGCCAAAAAGTGGTGATTTTCGAATTTTTCCAAAATGTGCCTTAACGCCCCTTTCGGAAACGAACGGGAGACATATTAATTCAAAGGGCATGTTGAGACGTCCATAATGAGAAAACAAAGAAGATTAAAATATTTCATTTTTTGGCAAAAAGTGGCGAAATTTGAATGTTCCAAAAATATGTCTTATCGCCCCTTTTGGAAACAAACGGGAGTCGTAATAATTCATAGGGCTTGGGGGGACTTCAATGATGTGAAAACAATGAAGATCAAAAATTTCGGTTTTGGGCAAAAATGACGACATAACCTCTTGCCATTTTTGCCAAAAAGTGGCGATTCTTTATTGTTTTTCCTCTCCTAAATGTATGGAAACAAATGGGAGTCATGTTAATTCAAAGGGCATGTTTGGACTTCCATGATGAGAAAACAAAGAAGATTAAAATATTTTATTTTGTGGTAAAACTGCTGAACCAACCCCTGCCATTTTTGCCAAAAAGTGGCGGTTTTCGAATATTTCCCAAACGTGCATTCACGCCCCTTTTTCAAAACAAACGTGATTCATATTAATTCAAAGTGAATGTTGGGACGTCCATGATGAGAAAACAAAGAAGATTAAATGTTTCATTTTTTGGCAAAAAAGATTAAGTAACCCCTTGCCATGTTTGCCAAAAATTGGCGAGTTTTTATTGTTTTTCCTCTTCCAAATGTGCCTTAACGCCCCTTATGGAAACAAACGGGAGTCATATTAATTCAAAGGGCATTCATATACTTATGATGAGAGTCAAATTACAGATCGAGAGGCAAGGTAATTAAATTCAGCGCAGACGAAGTTAAATGGCGACCTTCTATTTCAAGATGTTAGAAGCAAGAGAGACAGAGAGAGAGAGAGAGAGAGAGAGGGAGATGTGGGAGGTTTTTGAGGTTTAGTTTCAGCATGGACCTATTAATAGGTCCATGGTTTCAGAGAATGGAACTTTGATATGCAAATATCTGCTGATGTATATGCAAGCATACGACCGTATGAACAGTGGTGACGAGGAATTTCCTTTCAATAATAAATTCTGCTCAAGTAGCATGCATATTCATTAGCAAGTATTCCTTACTCACTAGCAAGAACCAATGACATAATATAATAAAATAGATTCTCATGAATATGCAAGATGCTCGCCCAAGAAAAATGAGGCGTATTAGGACGTTTTAGTAACTGTGAAACAAAAATGATATCTAAGCTATATGATAACCCTAAATGTTATCAAAGTTTACACTCAGGATAGCCTGTAGAACGACACTTCAGTTCGCTGTCAAACTAACTTAGGTCGGGTGTAGTGGCTTTGAAACTGAGTCACGTATTTTCCATGGTGTAAAAGTCGGGCCTAGAAGACTAAATTAATTATATTTGATAAGTAATCATCTGAATCAACCCAATTAATTACACGCGTGCAAACACGTAATGTTTATGAAAGATGTTTAATGCTGTCTTATATAGTACTTGGGATAAAGATATTTCATAATTTAAATAGAAATACTTTTCTCTATTAACACATTGCAAACAATTGAAGTGTTATTACCCTTTCAAACAAAGAGACCTAAGGTGGGAAGATATACATATTCCCGCCCAGGAGAATGGCTATTTCAGGTTATTTATCATTAAGGTTTCATTTAAGTTACACGGTTACTCAAAGTTCCCACCTCTTCTAAAAGACCTTACTATCACGTGGCATTTAAGCTCATGTATAATCATCACTTCTTGCAAATACTTGCCAATGAATATGCATGAAGTTTGAGAAGAGGTGGGATATGTTTTAGTAACTGTGAAACAAATGTGATATCTATACTATAAATTGAAGTTATTCCATGAAAGATTTAAATCATTAAACCTCAAATTTAGTCTTCATTGAGGATGAAGATAGGAAATTGAGGATTGAAGGTTGAAGGTTCCATCTCGGATCCCATGCATGCAACTCCAGCAATTAGCTGGAGCCTTTGATCTTCACTGAATCTTGATGAAGGAATGATTTGAAAATTAGCCCAAACGTATATTTATACGGTTTATACAGTACAGTATATTATTACGATAGCTCCTGATCATGTTTGAAAATATAAAGAAGATTAGAAAATGTATACAATTTTATACTATTTTGATATATTCATTTTAAAAGAACAGTTAAAAGTGTCAATTTGTATTAGATGACTTGTTTGCTTTTAACAAGTTGACACTTTACACTTGGTTTTAATTCATCTAAATACAAAAGCGATACAAAAGCGAGTGAAAAGCGCCGTTCGCCTTGCCAAAAGCGGGAGGAAAGCGCCGTTCGCCTTGCCAAAAGCGGGTGGAAAGCGCCGTTCGCCTTGCCAAAAGCGGGTGGAAAGCGCCGTTCGCCTTGCCAAAAGCGGGTGGAAAGCGCCGTTCGCCTTGCCAAAAGCGGGTGGAAAGCGCCGTTCGCCATGCCAAAAGCGGGTGGAAAGCGCCGTTCGCCATGCCAAAAGCGGGTGGAAAGCGCCGTTCGCCTTGCCAAAAGCGGGTGGAAAGCGCCGTTCGCCTTGCCAAAAGCGGGTGGAAAGCGCCGTTCGCCTTGCCAAAAGCGGGTGGAAAGCGCCGTTCGCCTTGCCAAAAGCGGGTGGAAAGCGCCGTTCGCCATGCCAAAAGCGGGTGGAAAGCGCCGTTCGCCTTGCCAAAAGCGGGTGGAAAGCGCCGTTCGCCTTGCCAAAAGCGGGTGGAAAGCGCCGTTCGCCATGCCAAAAGCGGGTGGAAAGCGCCGTTCGCCATGCCAAAAGCGGGTGGAAAGCGCCGTTCGCCTTGCCAAAAGCGGGTGGAAAGCGCCGTTCGCCATGCCAAAAGCGGGTGGAAAGCGCCGTTCGCCTTGCCAAAAGCGGGTGGAAAGTGAGTGATGGCCAACCCTCCCTCCCAGTTGAGAATTTCAGGTGTTATATGGTTAAAATATCATTTAAGTTTCACAGTTTGTACAACTTCCTACCTCTTGCAATCGACGATTATTCATTAGTATGTATTTACATGTACTTATTAGTCATGCCCAATCATTTGCAAAAAAAAGGATAATGATAGAATATATTCAAATAGCTTCTGATGAATATGCATGCAGTTAAAAGTATAAGAGGTAACCTTGTTTACTAACTGTAAATTATAATCTAAAATATATAGTAAAAATCGCATATGGGTAGGCCTACCTTTGAATTTTTAATCCAAACTGCGATTATTGGATTATTGATAATTTCTTTCCTTAATCAATTCATATTGTGATCAGTATTTATAAAAAATGATACTTCTTCAAACGATTTGGCGTATGACTGATGAAACGGCGCTCTTCAATCTTGAATCATCCCTCCCTGGCCCTACCAGCTATTTGCTATCGCTGATTGGGAGTCGAGTGGAGATGACTCTACAGCTCAATCCCAGATCCTCGGTGAAGATCTAGAGCCCCACCCATTCCTAGACAAGCATGGAAGATCGGCCATTCAGGCTTACCAGATCTCATTTGCTGTCGGAGAAGTTTGGATGCTGAATTGAAAAGTAACATCTTTCTTCGGTGAAGATTAAAAACGTTACTTATTTCAAACTTAATGGTAGTGCTGACGGACTTCAGTTTATGTAATTTATATATCACATATGTTTCACAGTTACTTAAATATGTCCCACCTCTTCTAAAACTTCGTGCATATTCATTAGCAATCATTTGCAAAAAGTAATGTTTAGGCATGAGCTTGAATTCCACTGATTGAAGATACATTGAAACGTAGGCCTTACAATGATTAATGAATATGCAAATCGTCTTAGCGAAAGAGGGAGGATTTTTTTCAGTAACTGTGAATAGAATGTGACATCTCTTTCACATTTATTTATTTAGAAGTTTATATATATAGAGAGAGAGAGAGAAAAGAGAGGGAGAGAGAAAAGAGAGAGAGAGAGAGAAAAGAAAAAAAAGAGGGAGAAAGAAAAGAGAGAGAGAGGAGAGAGAGAAGAGGAGAGAGAGAGAGAGAAGAGAGAGAGAGAGAGAGATTATTTCAAGGTATTAATAAATGTATAAATAGGATGATGAATAGCAAACTAATGTCTAGTTTAAATGATTTTAGATATATTTTTCAAAGCATTTTTTCTTCAAACTACAACTATTAAAACGAGTTACAAAGGTGAAATTCTGTCCCCTCACCTCTCCCTCTCTCTGTATGTGTGTTTCTCCCTCGCGCACGCTCTCTCTCTCTCTCTCATGCTCACTTTTTTATAATATTTATTCTCTCATCAGCCTCTCTCTACTTTCTTATTATTACAATGCAAGAGAGATAAGGCAAGTAAGTACCTAAACATGATGAGCTTACCCCTTGCCAATTTTGCCAAAAAGTGGCGATTTTCGAATCTTTCCAAATGTGCCCCCTTTTTAGGAACATACAGGGATCAATATAATTCTGAGGGCATATTGGGACTTTCATGATGAGAAAACAAAGAAGATTAAACATTTTTATTTTTTTGGCAAAAATGATGAACTCACCCCTTGCAATTTTTGCCAAAAAGTGCATTTTTTTTATTTCTCTCAAATTCCCCTTGCACCCCTAATGGGAGTAAATGAGGATCAATATAATTCTGAGGGCATATTGGGACTTCCATGATGAGAAAACAAGGAAGCTTGAAAATTTTCATTTTTTGGCAAAAATGATGAACTAACCCCTTGAGATTCACATTATGTAGTTTAATTTATCTAAGATTATCTGCTTTCACAGTTCAACTTGTTTTAAAGTTGGACTGCCCTTTAACAACACAATAAAAAAACAAAAATAAAATATACCACCATTTAAATATATTTGAAATGCAGTTTAATATAAAATGTACATTTACAGTCATATTTACAATTTCAACAAGTCAATCAAAATGATAACATACCCATATAAAAATAACGTATCTCAACTTCTTGAGGTCATATTTCTTGGGAAACATGACAACAATTATATTTTGACAGGTTGAATGATGTACAGTCTGATGAAGTGGTTGATTATATATATAGATGTGCAACACTCAGATCTGATTCCTGATCAAACCAAGGTCTTGTAGGAAGAATAAACAGTCAACAATCTAAGAAAGTTTCTCTATTTATGGGTTCATCTGTGTCTGTGCACCAGAAGAATATTGTAAGACGGGGAAAGAAAAATGAGGGGGAAAATGACAACATTTTAAAGATTGAAAGATAATTGTTGTTTTCATACAGCTCATTTTCACACCGTGAAGCAGTCATCATGCACCTTAACCATTCTTGTTTTGTACTGTTCTGAAAGTCAGGGTGAATGTGTTGTAAAGCATTATGCATCAGTTGAACTCACTGTAGTCAATGCAGAGACAGTGTGTAATGATGAGATCCTGCTTACCCAATGTTGTTTTATTTAAAGTGACTCAGTAACATCGTCTTAGATTCTGAAACAAAATCCTGGATTTAGCTCATGCTGCAATGATTATTATAAACCTTTAGGTCAGTCAGGAACCTCGTGACTTTTACAAGCCGATTGCCTGTCTGATTATCAAGATATTTATGATTGTAAATCGAACTCAAATTGTCTGTTTTCCTAATGGTTTTTAAAACACGACTGTCTATTGGGGACAAAGAGTATGGTAAAACCGGTCACTCATAGATTTTTACTTTTTTGAGGCACTTCATGATCATTTTGAAGCGCAATTGTTTTAGGGCTTCAATATTACACCATATCACTGACACTAATAACACGTGGGGCCATGCATCTCAGATTTAACATTGCTAAGCGATGCCTTTAAGTCTTAGGAACTTTGCTGCATACATGAGACGAGTCAATTCAGAATAAGAAACCAGACATAGGAATGAAACCCAAATCTCTCATCTCTCAGATGTTGACAGTTATATATGTCATCACATGCATATTTTCTGTAGTCATTTTGACAACTACATGGAATTACTCTACGATGATTTATACCATGGCTGTCCAAAAAAATATTGTTTCTGCCTTCTAAGAGTACCTTTTTATTGATGAAGTTTGGCATCTCTGCACATGTAATGCATTCAGTGACAAAGAGTTTCTTCACTTTACTTCACCATACAAGAGATTTCTCACACACGTAGTAAAAGATATTATCCCACTTGATCTTGAATGAAAACCTATGTCATCCTAAGGCATCCCATTCCATGTAACAGAATTAACATGATGCACAATCGACTACATGCTGTACAGATGCAGTTAGTAGAAAATTATTCAGAATAGTAGAGCCATTTACTGATGAAAAGCCCTTAAAGTACAAAAAGTTTGCAACCATAATTTTGACAATCGATGGATCAGATACTTGTATTGCACCAGCATTCCTTATACAGTCAAACCTGTTTACAGCGACCGCCCGAGGGAAACACAAAAAGTGGTCTTTGTAGACAGGTTCCTTTAGTACACGAGTCAATGAAAAAATATTTTCAAGGGAAACAAAAAATGTGCTTGTTGTAGACAGGTGGTCACTAAAACAGGTTTGACTGTACTTACACACTACACTGTCTACTGAAATCAGGATGTTTAACTGACATGATGTAGAGATTAGAAAGGATAATCTGATTCAATGCTCTTCCCAATTGGTTAAAGTGACCCGGTAACATTGCCTCAGATTCTGAAACAAAATCCTGGATTTAGCTCATGCTGCAATCATAATTATAAACCTTTAGGTCAGTCAGGAATCCCATGGCTTTAACAAGTCGATCGCCTGTCTGATTATCGAGATATTTATGATTGGAAATCGAAATTTCATTTCTTGTTCTCCAAATGGTTTTTATAACACTAGAGTCTATTGGGGAAAATGAGTATGGTAAAACCGGTCACTCAAAGAATTTTAACTTTTTGAGGCACTTCATGATCATTTTGAAACACAATTTTTTTAGGGCTTAGGAGTATGGTAAAACCGGTCACTCAAAGATTTTTACTTTTTTGAGGCACAACATGATCATTTTGAAGTGCAATTTTTCTAGGGCTTCAATATTCCACCATATCACAGACACTGATAACACGTAGGGCCATGCATCTCAGATCTAACATTGTTAAATGATGCCTTTAAGAAGATTTCTTCTGGGCACATTGATCCTGCAGATGAGTTGACATATTGATGACAGCCAATACAATGTTTCCACTACCAGATCCATTCAGGAGTATAGGCAGTGTGCTGTCGGCTTGATGTAAAACACTTGAAAGATCTCATATCCATCTTCCCTGCAGACAGTCAATATCTCCACAACGAATGAATTTCCATAATGAACAGCTGTATATACCGCAAGACACAGGCAACTGAAAGGAAGTGGCATTTGTCAGTCAGTGGAAGCATGATCAGCAGGGTGGCTTCATGAGGTGTCATTGATTTCAGCCATCTTCTGTTTCCACATCTTAGCCATAGCAAGCAGCTTAAGATTGGATTGGTTGGTCTCATCTGAAGGAAAGATGTAGTCGTAGTACTCTTCCCATCCTGCATCAGACTGTAAGGAAGTAAACACACACAATTCATTATGTAACATGCTTCTCAAACATCCGTTTAATTAATATCTCTAAGAACTCATGTTCCACATTATTGTTCATGTTTCAATGTTATAGATGGCACTCAAGATCACCACAATAATTTTACTGAGATATTGTACAGTAGCCGGAACTTCCGGTGTAATATAGATGGGCTAAAGGCCATCTGTACTAGTTTACATGAGGGATTAGACCACCCTGCAAGGTCACTGACAGGGGGCTATCTCATCACATCAGCTCCCACTTAAAGGAGCTACACAAAGAAAAATTCACTAAAACTGATAATTAGAACAAATTACATATGGATGGAAAGATTTTCTCTTGAAAAACACGAATAATTTGCTGAGAAATCATATAGATATCATGGAAAGGCGTAAAATGCAATTTTTCAAGACCCTTCTAAGACCCCCGAGCGCCCCTGAACGTAAGTCAAACACACAAGCGTAGCGAGCTCAGAATAGTGACGTCACACACTGGACAAACAGCTCAGTACCGGCCGCCTGCCGGAGTAGCGTGTCTGCAGCTAGCCAGCCGTGTCCCGTGTGACGTCACAAATATTGACGCTCTACATAGGACCGCTGAAGGCAGAAAATCTGGATCTCAAAACTAACATTTTTGAGAGTTGATTACTGCGGGCCCCAAACATATTTTGAAGAGGAGAGTTCTTGTATTTGATCAGTAAGGCTTCCCCTTTGCAATGATATGAGTTTTGCATCAATTCAAAACACTTTTGATTCTTCGTGTGTCTACTTTATCATGAGAAAAAGAGGATCATGGTGGACCAATGGTCATTGATTAGGCATTGTTTGCTATATAGAGGGAGCATGTAGCTATAAGTAGTGCAGTGGGCCTTTGAGAGATGTTTAAAAAATACTCTCTTGCACCAATATTAATGAAAATTATTTCAAAGTTGTGAATAAATTTAATGAAATTGAATGTCCCACACACAAAATCTTAACTGTTACCTAAATGTCCACTGTAATACTGAAACATGTTTGTGTAGGCAGATCATGTAAAAACAGTAATACATCAACACAAAACACCTGTAGCAGGTCTTTAAACCAGTGAGGACACAATTTCTTGATATTCTGTTATTACTGAAGTGTTATGCTCGGTCCCTAATGGACTTCATGCCAACATGATTTGCCTTTAGGTGTGGCTTCTCATGAAGTGTTGACCAGCACACTTGAGCCTCCTTTGATATCGTCTGTTCAAAGCCAGAAGGGCGTTAACTCTGTGTCATAGTACACCTTTCTGGCTCCAAAAAGATGATCTACATTAATAATAATAATAATAATAATATGGATATTTATATAGCGCTGATAACCGCCAGGCTCTGATGCTCATGGCGCTTTACATATATTACCCTGGTTATAGTCAAGCTGCCAAAGTAACTAGTGCTCAAGCATATCAGGTACCCATTTACACCTGGGTGGAGAGTGGCAAATGTAGATTAATGTCTTGCCAAAGGACATTAGTGCCGCGATGGGATTTGATTTGTAGTCGGATGACTTATCCACAAGACCACAACACCTTGTTTGCAACTTACCCCATCTTCTGTTTGAATCTTTCTCCTCTTCTTGACCTTGTTAGGCATCTGTTCTTGCACCTGTTCTACACTCTCATCATCTCCAAATTCATTCTGAAAAAAAGAAGAGTTGAATTCAATTAAAGCTGAGGGTTTGGTGGAATCATAGTAAATATAAAATATCTACGTTTTCTTTAAACTTACGGCACATGCACAAGGGGTACCTGTATTGCAATGTGAAAATATTCAGATATCTAATTAACCTTTTTTTGTCATTGGAAAGCAAGACATTGTGCTTTGGTGTAGTGCCACCTTGAACATCAAAGGTAAAGTTGATTTCTGGTCATGCAATTGCATTGTGAAAGAAACGTTATGGAATCGATCAGAAAAGCTTGATCATCTAGCATAAAAGTATTGGAAGGTTCTGAAATCATCTGAATGATAGGAAATTTGGCCCAGTCTTGGTAAAGCTACAAGCACTGTACACAGAAAGACGTATATAGGACTACACAAGCATGTGGCATAAAAATCTGTCCCAATTTTTATGATGTTACATGCCATATTTAGAATATTAAATCATCTGAAGAGCCATGGTTTTTATCTGATGTTCTTCCACACTTGCATAATACAATGATAATGCTCACAAATTATTTGTCACCTCTTCCCAGAACTCAACCTTCTCTTCAAAGTGACTCGGTAACATTGCCTCAGATTCTGAAACAAAATCCTGGATTAAGCTCATGCTGCAATCATAATTATAAACCTTTAGGTCAATCAGGCTTGTCTGATTATCAAGATATTTATGATTGGAAATCAAAATTTTGTTTCTTGTTTTCCTAACAGTTTTAATAACACTACAGTCTATTGGGGGAAATGAGTATGGTAAAAAACCAGTGACTCCAAGATTTTTTCTTTTTGAGGCACTTCATGATCACTTTGAAGCACAATCTTTTAAGGGCTCCAATATTACACCATATCACAGACACTGATAACATGTAGGGCCATGCATCTCAGATTTAACATCGTTAAACTATCCCTTTAAGGGTTATGCTAAAAGAAATATGATCTCACACATTACAAGCAACTTGCATTCTAGTAGCATAATCACTAAACATGACCTTACCCAATATAATTTGATGATTATCATTTGTCATGACAATCATGTTATCAGAATCATGATAATAGTCCACGAGGGCCGATGATGATCATCACCACACCGTACACAGTCAAACCTGCTTTAGTGACCACCTGTCTACAAAGGCCACATTTTTTGTTTCCCTTGAAAGTGGTTTCTCATTGAATCATGTACTAAAGGAACTTGTCTACAAAGACCACCTGTCTACAAAGGCCACTTTTTGAGTTTCCCTTGGGCGGTCGCTATAGACAGGTTTGACTGTACCTGATCCTCAGCTCCATGTAAACATTGGTCTTACCTCAAACTCCTGCCATGCCTCTAGTAGCATCAGTCTCTCTTCTTTCTCCTCCACATGCTTCAATGCCTTGTTGGCTTCATCATAGACCTGTCTTGATCGCAAGACGCAGTCTTCTGATCCAACCGACAGCTCGCATTTAGCAAAACTTATCCAGACCTGCATGATAACATTTATCCAAACATGCACATAAATGAGTCATTTAAAATCATCTAGACCCAGGCCTAGACCTGTGTAATTTAATCAAGTTACATTCCTCTCATCTCATCCATAGAAAAAAGAAGATGCAATGTTGTCAAATTTACATGGCCTAATCATTTTGTAAGTTTGAATTATCTAGACCTGCATAATTAAATCAAATGACATTCCTTTCATCTCCTTCTTAGAAAAAGCATACAGATGAAAGTTGTCCAATTTAAATGGTCCAATCACAGAGATGCCAACCCTATAGGATGGCTGTCAGTAACATATACCATATTTGTCCGTAACAAATGGGGGTCCTTCCGTAACGCAAGAAACCGCAGCATAATTTTCGCGCAAAACGTACACAAACACCCAATCAGTCTTACTGCATTTCAAACCTACCAGTTTAAGTCCAAAATAAAGATGTGCATAAAAACGTTTTTAAAAATCTGTTTCCAGTCAAAGGATCTCCTCCTCGGGTACTCCCTCTTTTTAATAAATCCATGATAATATTCAGGAAGAAAACACCTCGTTCAAGCGTTGAATAGCAAATTCGAATCGACAGTCAAATAGCAGAACTCGTATCCTACACACGCACATGTACACTCACCAGTACCACAGACACACCAGCCCACTGGTGAACAACAACACACCGTATACCGCACTTGCAATGCGCCCGCTGAATCACCGAAGTCTTCGCTACCATACTTTGAATGGGTGGCTTAACTGCAGCAGGCGCCGCGCGCACAATCATCTACCACCATGCTCCCCCCCAAAAGGCACGACCGCACGTAGCATACCAGTATCAAAACAGTAATAACGGCAGCCGTGTTGTTTCAGAATTAAACAAGATGGCGGCGGACGGACCATGTGCGCGAAAGTGCCTATCCAGTGTAGTCAAATTCAGTGAACTTATAAGTAAATGCGTGCGACATGCAGCGCTGTGTACGGAGGCTATGTGATAAGGCGGCATTCGCTAAAATGTACTTTTATGTATAGTTTCCCCGTAACCTTTTGATTGTTTACCGTAACGCCGTAACAAGAGCATTAAAACCGTAACAAATACGGCGAAACCGTAACGGTTGGCATCTCTGCAATCATATGTTAGTCAAGGAAAACATGATGCAGTCACAATACCAGTACCTGTATTTGAATTTGATGTTTTATTCATAAAACCATTCAATTTTAGCAAATTGCAACCCTGGATCTTGCAGAAAATTCATTGCAACAGAATTACACCCCTTTTGGCATGAATGTCTGATAGGTGCTTATGACAGTGAAACTAGAATTACTAATGGCACTTTACATTTAGAATAAACACTGAACAATATCATGATAGTTTTGATGGAAAGAGGTACAGCATACATCAAATATTCATAAGAATTGGTCATGTCAAGTCTTTGTATGTCAATCAATGATTTCAGTTTACTCACCTTAACATGTTGTGTCCTCTCCAGTAGTCTCCTATACAGAGCTCGAGAGTTATCCCATTCTTCCTGCTCCACTTCAAAGTCAATGAAAGATTTCCACAAAACCTCTGGCATGTCAAGTCTAGGCTGACTAATGGCAAGTTCATAGACAGCTCTTGATCTGTCGATATCTCCTAGAATAGTCTCCAGCTCAGCATACTGCAAATCGACATGAGAGGTTGCATTTTGACAGTTATTACATTGTTGTTTCTACCCTCAAATCAGACAAACTTGCTTAGATTGATTGAAAATAACAACTAAAGCTATAGGTTCTGAAGACTGACAAACATTTTAAATATTTGTCTTGTCTCTAATTCATTCTAAATTTAATAAAAACAACCTTTGAGACAAACAGACATTTAGATGACACATCAAGGACTTGCTGATGTATTTTCTATAACAATAGCTCATTTCTACTGATCAACAGTACCAATTGAAATGTAGTCAACTCATACTATAAAACAAAATGATCCTGTAGTATATGTCACACTCTTCTGTTTAGCAGTTTTATCTACCACAATCGTTATATTAATGAAATATAATATCACAGATATAGAAGTATTGTTGACTAACACGACCATATTAATGCAAGGAAACATGGAAACTGTAAACTGAGTGTTTACCTTCATCCATGTGGTGCAGTTTGCTGGGTTGAATTCTAAGAACTTCTCGTAGAGAACTCTACAACGATCAAACTCTCTCAGCTGAAGCTCCATCTCAATGTAAGACTTGAATAGCTTATCTTTTGGACACTTTCCAATCGCTGTTCCCTGAATAATGATAAGATGGGAACATGGTTTATAAAGATTTTCAATCTCTTTTTGCTGTAAAAAAAAGAAGAAGTGAAAGCGTCCAAAGTGCTCTTTCATCATCTAAAATTATTGAAACAAATGTAAAATTTCCTTTAGATTTACTACCAAAAAAATTCAAATATTTAGATACAACTAGAAACAAAATATGAATATGGAAATAACAACATAGCAATTGACCAAAAAAAAATCTCCCCCCTCTCTTTCTTTCATACTCTCTCTCTCCCTCTCTCTCTCTCATCCTCTTTCTCTCTCTCTCTCTCTCTTACAAGCCATAGACACTTACCATGACTCTCCTTGCTTTCTGAAGCTCTTTCTGTCTGACCTCAAACTGAGCCATCAGCACCCACATCTTGGCAAATGTAAACTTCTTATGGGGGATCAGGTCCAGGCATGCCTTGTAAACCTCACGTGTCTTTTCCATATCCTTCAATACATAGAAAAGACAGTCGAGAAAGGCATTAGATAAAAATATTAATCATCTACCATGCAGCTACAAAAGAGACTAGTCTTTGCTAAACCTTATGCTACGTTCACAAAGGTTCGTAAGAAAGATAATTTCGTACGAATCTCCGTTTTTTCATTGTCTTCCCGAATTTCCATTGTCTGAAAATCGTTCCTACGGCGTTCGTAATAGCATTTGTGACCGAGGCTTAAGCCAAAAATATTAATACACATATTTTAAGCTCCAATTTGCATAAATTATGAAAATATTAATATTGCATAACGAATCTGACACCATAGGAATGTGCCTTACATATTGCCCAATACCTGTGTCAAATGTTAGCATGAATGGACATCACTTGGCCTAGATCCGAGGGGGGGGGGGGGCAGGGGGGCCTTTTAGCCCCCCTTCCCGGTATTAGAAACCTTTCAAATACCTCGGCCTTGTTTAAGGTTAACATAAAGCTTTGTACTATTAACACTGATATATTATAGATGGTTAATATCCTATAACATGATGACTCAAATCACTTACCCTGACTTCTAATTCTTCATAGGTAGCATAGTTGATCCATAGATACATATATCTCCTCCACAATCTCTTTTCTTGAGCAGGTGGAATGTTAGCTATAGCTCTCTCATACAGATCTCTCACAGTCTCTATATCCCCATCCGTCTCCATTAGACGTAGGTAGTCAAACCATGCATCGTAGTTGTTAGGGTTGGCTTTCACCTCCTACAAAACAAAAACAAAAAACAAGAGATACATTTTATAACATGATTCAAGAAAGCATGAAAGATCTGTATGGATAAACAATTTGTTTTCATTTAGAAAGGTATGTGTCAGAGAATTATAGCAGAATTATATCGTGGTAACTTACTTCTTCATACTGGAACCTCCTCTTGCTGATGACGACATCTTCTATGCCAGCTCTGTCTCCATATCTCTTCTCATGGATGGTGTAGTTCTTGAACAGTTCTTGAGCATGCTCCTTATCCATGTTGTCGAGAGCATATTTATAGATCACCTTGGCTCTTTCATGCTGGATTGTCAAAAACATTATGGGTAAACTTTTGAACAAAAACAAGGAGAAATCTTTGAAAGATTCTATCAATAGTTATTGCAATTTTTCATATTTAGTCATAATGGTAGTTTTAAAGATCAATCACATCAGAATATTGCATCTCTCAGAAAAATTACTTATATCAATGAAAAAGTTTATCAGAAGAAATAAAAAAAAATTAAACATAACATTATCTGATTACAAAGATGTATCCCCTATGTAAACCTTGCATCAAGAAAATGAAAACCTGTATGTATCCTTGCAAATATGGATTCTTAAAAGGACTGGGAGATAAGTTATCTTATGGGGCTGCTGTATTCATGGGAGAATTAACTTTCTGAATGAAATGTGAACAAACATTATTTACCTCTTTCTGTCTCTCTTCGAACTTGGAAAATGCTATGTAGAGTTTCTCATCCATGTGGTCTTCATAAAATGCTACAGCTCTCTCATAGACTCCTCTGGCTAAACTGAAGTAGTTATGAGATTCCTCAAATCCGGCATATTTGATCCAGTTTTTCACTTCAGGATGAACATAGACAAGTAGCTCTCAGTCAAGGATACAATACATTCTTTGTGCATAGAACTTTCTATGTTCCATGTTCGATGGAAACATGTATGAGTGAACACCCTTCAACAGAAGAGTATATTTATGAAAGCATACTGCATGTATCTCTATTGATTCTTTCAATTACATTTAAACCGAAGTATTCAATGCTGTTTGTTCAAAACTTAAGCAATCAACAATGGATAATGCACATTTGAACTCAATATCTTTATTTTTATTTTTGTATCAAAGCATTAGAGGGCATTAGATATTATAGCAGTATCAGAAGATGGTACACATTATGAACCCCTCCCTCCCCCCCAAAAAAGGACACAAACCGTTTTTACTATTTCCTCAATAACAATATTATTCTGATGGCAAACCACAACCAGTAATAATTCAAGACTCTGTAAAGGATATATCTCTCATAGATAGCTCTTGCACGCTCCGTCTCCTTGTATCTAAGCTCCATCTTAATGTAGGAGAACCACGCCTGTTCTTCAGGTTCCCATTGCATCCAGCGTTCAAACACCTGTCTGGCTCCACCCACGTTCCCTACAAGCTCCTCCATGTAGGTGTACTTGTACCAGAACTGATTGGTGCGAGGGAGGATGGTGATGGCTCTGTCCCAGATGTTGCGAGAATGGTTGATCTGTTTGTGTCTACAAGAATAAAGAAACATATACTATGAGCATAGGATCCCCACTGCACTATATGATATGGACGACGTTGTTGAAGAATAACCACTTCTTCTATATGACCGCATCACTTTACACTTGAGATAATACTGTGCAAGTGCACACTAGCTTCAAATGATAAACAAGCTTTATGGCACTATGCTACAAATAACGACACATAGTTTAGATGGTGTTTTACAATTTATATAACTAAAACATGCATTACATTAGTAGCATTCAAATTTAATAGAGATGAATATCTTTAAAACATTTCAAAACTTTATAGATGTTTTGGTCAAGTCTTTTAAGAATTCAGTTAAAGTCCTATTAGTCTGGCTTCAAAGCAAAGTAGATTCCTGTGACCAAAAATCTGGACATCAGGCTAAGGCAAACTATTTCAAACTAAGGATCACATTGGGCACTAAAGCGATTTATTCTTGAGTAAGTTATGGGGCATGCTCTGTGCAAATATTTCACATTTTACTAAAATATTAGGCTTCCGGTTGCACCATGTGAGAGAGGGGGAGGATTTTATTGTACATACTATCACTACTGGACCATAAATACACATACTAATGGACTTACTTCATTTCCATTTCTGCGTATTTCAACCAGATTGTCACGTTCCTGTGCTCCACATCTAAGGCTCTTTCCCAAATGGATCTTGCTCTGTGGAGAAGAAGGGAAAAAATGTACATAAGGTTCATAACTGGAATAACTGCATGTAGATTAAACGAGTACATCAATTCTTTCCGTGTGAAGATCACCTTTCTTTTATGATATATATGTGTTTAATTATTAATTTAATTTGAAGAAAAAAAAGAAAAATTACAAAAATGGAGTGGTGTAAAGAGAACATTTTGATATTATGTAGAGACATATTTCTACAAATTGGTAAAGATTTTTGTTTTTTTGTTGATTTAAAATAAATAAATATAAAAGTTAGAAAAGCAATGATGAAGCAGCAAAGTGAAAAACATTCAGTGAACATTCTCTTACATACTAGTGAATTCTTACCGAGCAATTTCATTCTGGCTCTCTTCCCACTTGGCATACTTGATCCAATTTCCCACCATGGAACGGTTTTTGCGGATATTGTCCTCAAATTCCTTTCTTTTTCTCAGTCTGTATTCTTGAAGTTCATCTGGGTCAGTGATCTTTTGCTTTGGAGGCTGACATTTGTTGGTGGGAAAAACAAGATTATTAGAATATTAGATTCCTTGTAGGCAAGAAGCTCAATCTTTACTCATCAATTCCGATGTGTAGTACTGAACCGATTAAAATGTAACTGCATATGAACTGATCTTGGTTCTAGAAACATGTCTATGAGATGAGGAAGATCATTATTTGAATTACACTCTAAAATAATGGTTATTAACCTGGAGGTCGTCCAGAATTTTAGGGAGGTGATGAATGGGTCACTAACAAATCACAGGGTTTAATGACACTGACTGTATTTGCATTCATAGGGTAACAGCAATAATATGGAACGTAAGATAGGGTCTAGGACTCTAGGCTAGGGCCATAAAGTATAATCATAGATTAAAAAAAAAAAACCTGTTAATTCGAAACATAAGATGGGAAACAGAGAAAATGGGAGAGGAATATAGAGATAGAGATAGAGAGAGAGAGAGAGAGAGAGAGAGAGAGAGGGAGGGAGAGAGATAGAGAGAGAAAGAGAGAGAGAGAAAGCAAGAGAAGAAGATGATAAAGAATGAATACTTCTGTGTGTATACTTACAGGAGGAACCAACTCAAGTTCTCGTTCCTTAGCCTCTCTGAGGATCTGTTCAGCTGTAATCTGCACCTCTGCAGGCATCTTGTTTTTGACCTGTTGGGGAATAATAAAATATATTAGTAGTTCAGCATATTTACGCTAGCTATTATGTTGAGAAAATAATCATGAAAATACATGAACATGATTATTCCTCTACTTGCCATTGGTACAGATTCATATCTTTCTGATCTTTGGTAAAGGTGTAGACCCTACTAATATTTATGCACAGAGATTGGTATATTTTTATAATAGCTCCCATTTGATGGACTACATACATTAAGAAAAAAGTTACCAACGATAATATTGGATTAATGATTTCTCATATTCTATACAAATTTATTTCGAACAAGAACTACCAAATAGACAGCAAAATTTCACAAATGGGTGAATCTAGAAAATTTATTGTCAAAGGAATTCTGGACATATTGGATTATGCCTACATTATAATCCAAAATGGCAGCTCGCTTGCATTGCCTCTTCTCTTAGACCAATATAATTAATTTCAAAGTCATGAACATACATGGGCTACAAAAACTCCAAATGACAAAATATCCCAGCTACGGATGTTTTTTTAGTATTTGATAGCCCAAAACTTGAAAAGTCTCAGCCTTTTTTCTTCTTTTTCTTCCGATCATTTTCCGATCATTTTTCATCGATCGACGATCAGAATTTATCATCCGATTTCACCTAATCAGCCAGGGATCGGACCCCAGTCCGATTATCGGTTACAGGGTTAATTTAATTTTGCTGGTAGGGGCATCAATACTGAGCTGTTAAACTCTGAACACAGGGCATGGGAGGCAAACCTTTGTGTGGGGAAGGTCAACAATTGTCAGTTTTATTACAGAATTCCCCATACCAGACGGTTATTTCTCTTTAGTGCATGCCAAGTATGTTGGGGGTTGCATGTGTCTAGAGAGAGCCGGACACTTTAAAAAATGAAGTCTTTTTAAAGGGGAAGTGCACCCTAAAATTATGTTTGTTATAAATTTTAATAGAAGTATAAAAAAGAGCGAAACAGGTCAGTGAAAGTTTGAGCAAATAGTGATTGAAAATCTTTTGAAGGTCAATCAAACACAAAATGGCAACTGTGTGATGTATCTTGCAAGCTCCCCTCCCATTTGACCTGTACACATTTTTTACACAAATCTGTATTTTCCCTTCAGAAAATTCTCAATCATTCAACCTTAATATAGATCTATTATTTATTTATTGCAAATACGTTTTTTATACACCTTTAATAGGCACATTCATGGGGCACTAGAGGGCGCTTTGTGCGCGTACGAAAATCTGAATGGCCTTGCTGCGGTGGGTCGGCAATAATCAGCCCAAAACTTGGATATGGGAGGGTGGAAGGATATATCTTTTTTATAATGTTATCTGGTCTTACCCTTAACCATCCTATGTTTAATCTATGTAGAAATAACATGCGAGTACGATAAGAGAAACATAGGGCCCATTACTGATGCAACTTTTAAAATATTAGCCTAGAAATGACCACCAAACGGAAAAAATTGACATTTTTTCCCGACAAATCTTCATAAAATCTGATTTATAAACAAGTCACATCTAGGTACACTAATACAAATACGATTTTCTGAAAATTCAGGTATTCTTTTTTAAGTTTCTTTCAAGTATATTTCTGCGCATTGCAGCGCCAATGTTCTCCACTGCTTCAAAATCACCCTTGAAATTTTTTTTTTGCAACAAATTTGTTACGAGGTCTGCGAGTGTTCCCCATTTCTTGCGTGTTGAAAGTTTGGTAATACATAGTTTACATTGACTCGCGCACGAAAAAATGGTCGAAAACAAAATGTCAAATGAAGAAATAAACAAGCTTTTGTATAGTTATAAGAGTTCTACCGAGGTTTCTTTGTCGATTTAATTTATTATATAGTCTCAATTAGAATTCAGAATTATCTCACTGAAAAGTTAAAAAACCGACGATGTTCTCGATCGTAGTTATTTTCATTTTGCCAGCAGCCGATCTAGCGTTGTTTGGGCAAAAAGCTAGGCCGCTGCCTTCCCATCGCAAACCTTTCCGAGTCCCGCTAAAATGGCGCGCTGCGGAGCTCCGAAGCTGCGTTGGTATCGCTGCAAACTCTCAGCCGGCTAGCTCCCCAAGACGGACCATTCGCGGTATGGCGAGATTGTGTGTGTGAGGTACGATTTTGGATTCGAGAACGCACGTAATGCAACCGTGCGCATCATATTCAGCTGTCGAATGTCTACAACCAATTTTACATGTACGATTTTTAGTACAGATACTTGGTCAGTTTTCTTCTTATATCTTTGGTTTTACAACATTTAAAAATATAATTTCTTCAAATTTGCTCCTGACTCGGTTCAGACTAATTGTGTGATGTGTTTTCAAGTCAATTTTTTTAATATATTTTTTTGCATGAATTTGCCTACCTTTAATTTTATGAAGGCTTCAGAGTAAAGGAGCCGGTAATCGGCCAGCTCTAGTTTTCGGCCGATTGGTTGGATGGAAGGTAAAACACTCTAAAATACATCGCATAATAGCATAACACATATCCCACACATACCATACCATGCCAGTGTCACTGAAGAACCACATTTGCAATGGAAAATATATCCTAAAATATCACATTTTAGCGATGTAATCGCCGGTCCCGCTACCCAAATCTGAAAAATTGAGTATCTTACGCGTGTCTGTAAGAAATATGGGTACCATAAAATGAGCTTTATTTCAAGTATTTTTCAGATTTAGAGCCCGATTTTGTGCTAGTCGCAAGCTCAAAAGTATCTCATCGCATGTATTAAATCAATGCAGCCGCACACCGCGACGCACACACGATATCTCTGTCTAATTCAGATTCCAACTTCCGATCACCGCTGTGCCTGTCTTCGGCCAGGCGAGCACCAGGGAGCTCCGGCGTGGGATACCTGCTCCGCCCGCTTGTGCTGTACATCAGCGCGGAAACGCACGGCGCGCGTGAGCGCTTCCTATTTCCTATTGACTTTGTACATGCGGCCGTAAACTGAAACGCTCGGCCGATAACTGGCTCCAAAACAGTGAAAATTGAAATGAATATTGTCATGGCAATTCGTGATTTTTTTCTGGGATTCTTTTTTTGTTTAAATAATAATAATATTTGCTTCATGATTTGAACAAGAAATGATAATAAATAGGAAGTAAAGAGTCCTAAAAATAGGATTTTGTCTTAAGTGGCCGAAAACGGGCTCCTTTACTCTATGTCATTTTGAAAACAATCTATTCCGTCATCATTAACTGAGAAAATTAAAAGATAGGGTCGCATGCTACGTCAGTGTTGCCAATTTGTTTTTTTAATCAGTTGGGGCGCTGGTTTGAAAATAAGGATCGTCCACATAAACGAGGATATCTTCGTAAAAATGCTGATCCGCTCACTGGCAATGCAAACAATAGATTCCGCATAACAAGATACCCCCAGTTCACCCTCTACTTTTACGAATTGTACGCCTTCCCCTGGATTTGTTTTGAAAGTCTCTGTGCTGCGCAAGTGAGACATGCATCTTTACCACTTTACCCGAGATTCTGGAAGAATGCTGTGTTCTCAGCAGTCGGGCTTCCAGTTCAATTTCATTTTCTTCCAAAATCTGTTTCCAAAATCTGTTTTTCGCATCGCCAAAGGCAAAGCATGGATCAGTAATCGCGAACGATCCTTATTTTTCAAGATGCAATTTGTCCGTGGATATCCTTGTTTATGCGGATGATCTTTATTCTCAGTCCAGCGCCCCAACTGATAATTTAAAAAAAAATCACAACTTTTTTTAAAAAGAATTTTGCTGAATTAAAAAAAGGGTCAAACTGTCACTCATTCTCTTGTTTTTCTGATTTTATCATTATTAAAACCAACTAAATATCAGGATGGACTGCTCTCAACGACTTAAATTAAGCTTTCACTTCATATGCCTTTGGCCCATGATTAGGGCCAAGCTACCGAATTCGGAAGTAACGACTTGAATTGTGACCGGAATAACAACCCATAAATTATCTAATTGGATAGCGTGCTAAATCTATTTGCAAGAATCTTGTCCGATTAAATACTTATAATAAAGTGATGTTAAGCACGAAATATTTACCTTCGCAACTTTGGGAACTTTATTTTTACTGGACGAAGCCATTTTGATGATAGTTTGTCCGCTTTAACGATGAAAAACTGTCGATTGTCTAGTTTTCGCCTCAGAAACCTGTCCACGAAAACAATTTGTAACGGAGATGGCGCTCTGAAAATGGGCTTGTTCGAGTAAACGAAAAAAATGAATTCATAAATAAATATAATTCTCATTATGTTTGTTACAAAATCATTTTAGATCAACAACAAAAATAATTAGGCAATTAATATTTTTCAGTTATATTTTTAGATTGTTATATAAAGATATAATCGTAATGTTATATCCACAGTAATGACAACATTGTTGCCATAGAGCTAGGCCGCTAAACCTTCATTCCCTTCAATATCTTGTTTGAGAACGACAAGAACGCTTATTTTGTACAAAATTGAACGGTATGTATCACTTTATGAGAATGAATCAATACAATTACATTATATGTTTATTTATATTTATGTATTAATGCTTATAAACTTTTACAGATGAGTGCAAAAGCCTTACGAAATAGATCGGAATGTAATGCAGACTGACTTGGGCCTGTGTAGCTAGCAAGTAGCGGGCACTGGCCCTGCAGAGTACCCAGGCGCAGGCCATGGCTTTCCAATGCGGTTACTGCGAATCGGGCCTTAAAATCGGCATGCTTCATTGATAATGCGCGTGCAAGTTGCTTGTTGTTGGGGATCATTGCATAGAAATTTGAGTTGACTTCATTATGCATGAAGTATTTTGTATTATAGATATCAGGGGGCCGTTTCTCGAAACCAACTCCATGACAGTCATATCTTTGTCGGCGACCTACGGAGATGTCATGAAGCGGATAAACCGTTTCACAAAGCCATGACAGACATGATATCGATATATCGCGATACTAGCAGCTCAAGAACATAGTCTTTGTTACGATCCATTTGATTTATCAAGAATAACCCAAAACAAGTTTTGGGGCTAAAATTGTTCAAAAAGAAATATATAGATCTACATATAAATTCTCCTAAAATAAATAATAAATAGTGTCATTATCATATTTACATCATCAAACGATTTGCATATTTCTGTAAAGATTCTTAAATTGAAGAAAAACCAGTGAGTGTTTTTTTTTCGACAGTCGAATCAAAAGTTAATTGAAGGATACCGTAATGTGATAGTTTATCAATACGTACTTTTTTGTTAATTGTGACGAGGAATTTTAGGCAAAATGTCTTTTCTCAGCCAGTTTTTATTCTAGAGTCTCATAAATACTCGTTATATAATTGATTTGATATTGAAAATATAATTTGGAAGAAGTAAATAGAGAGGGAAAAATAATGCACATAGGCCCCAAAGGTATGACGGTATCCTAAGAAAAGACTATGGATCGACTATGGAAAACGGTGTGTAACATTCTTACCTCTCTTATTTATATGTCATAGTTTAATGATTTGTGATTTAATGTTTATATTAAGCTTTTTAAAGTTTCTGTATAATTTGTATTCTCATTTTTGTACATTTGCATTTCGCATCCCAGAGAATTACGTACCGAACTCGTCTATATTTTTCTCAAAATGATAGTGAAACTAATCGTCCATTTCGCGGCCCATGGAATGTCAACAAACTGACTTGTGATGGCGCTTTACAGCAATTAAAAAGATATGACAGGTTCGGAGCAGTGACAACTCGCTGGTCGCGGAAGTTGTCGCTCATCTTGGCAAAGACGGCTTCGTGAAACACTTAGCTGACAAGTTGCGTGACAGTGGCGAGATGTCGTTGATCTTGTAGTTATGACGGTTTCGAGAAACGGCCCCCTAGTGTTCTTGACAAGATTGGAGAGGGAAGGGGGATATGCCTGTCTGTAGTCTCTGTGAAAAGTCACAGTGTGAGCTGTCCAGACACTCGTTTTAAGCCTAAACTTAAGGGTCCATAATCTATGCTGGGTTCCCTCAATTTTTAAGAAATCTCTTGTATCATTTCTTGCCATTTTAACATTACATTTAGTTAAGAAATTTGAGGTGAAATTCACAATACATTTGTCAGCTTTGATATCAAGACATGCATTCATGTAGAATTGAAGACTAACTTTTGTGCATATCTCATGCATCATGGACCCTTTCATTTTTTGCGAACCAATTTAACATGGGCGTCAAAACCGCTTGGAAATATGCATTAATATTTAATAATGATAACTGTTGGTTGTAGATTTTCTTGAAGTCCACTCCAGAGAGTCTAGAATCAATATAGAAAGGTCTAGATCTAAAGCCAAAGGAGAAATTGTCTAAAACACTGGATTAAAGGATTTGCAGCCTTTGCTTTGGAAAAAAAGTGCATAACTTATGCCTTGGCCAGCTGTATTGCAAAAGATTCAGAAAATATTGCAAGAATACTTTTTTTAGTATCTACTATTTTAAACTTTAAAACATATTTATATGCAACATTCTCTTGCTGCTCCTGCAAATACCCTTTTAATGTTTTATTTTAAGATTAATCTTTGTGAAAATACCCTTATGCTTGACTGTATGCTCCCAGTAACATTTTCAAAATATGTTATTCCTCAAAAAAGGTTTCATCAGTTCTACCCTCAAAGTCAGGTTCTTTCAATAGATGGTTTGTAGATGTAATTTTTTATTTTTTATTTTTTGTATTCATTATTTTGTTTATAGTCAAACAACAATGAGTATTACCTATATTGATTACCCATGACTTCATATCTAGATGAAGAAGCTATAATACCAAATATATACATATTGATTGATGATCAGTGATCTTGTATTCCTACCTCTTTATAGGAAGAATAGAAATGGCGACTGTTGTTCAGTCAGCAGATGGACCTACTGAAGTGATCAATGCCAGACGGACAGAATCACTCGATGCACCAAACATCTTGAAGTTGGTTACCAAAGCAACTCAGCCTCAGTTTGGTCTGGTTGATGTTGTGAATATCATGTAAGTATTTCACTGTTTATTGACACCTTTTGAATTGGTTTAAAAGGTTTAAATGTGACCTCCGTATGGATTTTTTTTTTCCCTTTCTCCTTTCAAAAAAAGTAGATGTAAATCATACAAGAATCACCATTTAAGCATTTTTTTAGTTGTTGCAGTAATGTTGATAGATTCCCCAAAGTTTTTAGTTTTACTAATGAAAAGGAGAGTAAAGATATCAATCTAAATTTGCCACACTTGAGGGTTTAAAATAATGAAATAAGATTTTCTTAAATTGTTTGTATATACAATTAAACAAAGTATGAGCAAAACTTGTGTCACAAATCTAAAGAAGAAAGTACTTTGAACAAGAAAGATAAGAATAATACCTTGTAAGTCTACCAGGGTGTGGTTTAACATGTATCATCACGTTTGCTTCACACAGTGAAAAGGCAGTCTTGGCAGTAACCCTCAACAATGAACGAGAAGAAATCCTTGCCCATGCAGCATTCTTTGACTATCCTAACGTGGACTCTGTAGACCATGGAGAGTGGCAGGAATGGCTCAACACATACTATGATACACAGGAATGCACAGTAAGTTCTATCACAATGAATCCTTGCAAGGGGTAAATAGGTTCAAGGTTATCTCAAACTTATCATCTACTAAAACAAAGTGGATTACTTTCTTAATATTTTCATATGAATATCCATATGAATCTTTTTCAAGCTTTTGGGTTAAGCCTTGTACCAGCAAACCAAGTAACAGAAGAAACAAAAAAATATATACCTCTCACCCTTGAAGGAGGTGTGCTTGCAGTCAGTTATGAGTGACAAATCAAATATACTCATGAATACCTGAATTGTTTTCAGTCAAAGTAATCAAACCATATAAGTAGGTATCATCATGATCATTTGTGGATTGTGAATGTGCTTAAAATTGATTCTGAAAATGTATTCTCTTTTAAAGTAAAAAAGAGTTAGATATCATATAGCAGTGTAGTGAATTAGGGAAGCAAGACTTTTGCAGATAACTTAAAAGACAATTGAAAGGCAAGTGTACATATTATAGTATCAGTAATATATCACTTCCAATTCATTTACCTTTATTCTCAAGATTCAATAATACTTGACTTCAAATCATTCATCTCATCAAATTATCACTTGTTTCATTTTGTTCCCAGCCCTTGAACACACTGTTTCTACACTACTTTGTGGCTAAACCTGCATTTGCTCATGGGAGTGCTAAAGAGATCATCAGGTAAATACATTAACATTTGATAACAGACTTTTGTTGGAAAGCAACTCTGAGCTCCCAATGTAGATTTTCTGATAATGAAGATTCATATTTGCATTCATGAATATTATTGACATGTTATTGTATGGATTATATGGAGATCTATTAAAATGATCAAGGAGCTGGTATCTATGTGACATCGGTTTTAATCATCAATTTTTACAAAGTATGAAGAAAACATTCACTTCTCATTCAGAGGTGTATGCATGGATTCTCTTATTGATAGACAGTGAAAAGAAACAAAAAAAAAGAGGATTTATTAAGTACTATATGAGTGTTTTGAGATTTGTAACATAATCTTTATGTTTTTGTACTACGCTAGGACTGTATTCAACGCAGTGCCAGACATCCACTTCCTGTATGTAGTGTTACCTACTGGAGTAGCCCCTGAGCCTGCTTTAGGACATAACTTCAGCTCGAAGGAGCTCAAGGATGGCGACAAACCTCTGGAGGGATACTCGGTCTTTGTTTGTCATAGACATGATCATTGTCCAGAGCTCTTTGTGAGAAAAGCTAGGTAATATATCACATTCATTAATATCACATCCTGTCAAGAGTGATTATAATAATAAACTAAAAAGTTCGCTATATTTATTATGTTGAAGGAAAAAAAAAGTAATCATTTGCTTAGTGGTACTAACTCTAGCATGAATACATGCATGTAATACAATTTCTTACTGTCTTGATTAACAAGTTCTAACAAGGGGCCTCTGTTTCATACATTTATCTTTTTTTTTCTAACACCATTGCATTGGAGACCTTTTTAAGTCTAGTTTTTATATGAATTGCTCATTTTGATCGCCAAATTTGGAGAACTAGATCTGTAATCAATTTGACTACTTTGCATATGTTTTAGAGTTGAAGACCATGATGACCTGACGCCAATCTTCAACCGTCAGAGTGATATGCTCAACTCTACATATGGAAGCTACTTTTTGGCTGAATTGATAGAGTCTCAAGATGAAAATAACCAGGCAATCATTGTAGAGGTATGTATTCATCCCATTTTCAGATTTTCAGCAAAATTTGCTACAAGGCCCAAATAACACCTTTGCATTTTAGAATATTAAAGTACAGAGGAGATTGACCGAATTAACAATGATAAATTGATAAACTCAAATTGAAAGGACCTGTAAAAATTGTCAATGTATTGATACTTCTAAATAGTAAAGCATTTTTTTTGTGTTAAGAATTCCTGCAAAGTACTGAGGTTTAAACTACAAGGTTTCATTTTAAATGTGTCTCATCCCTTGATTTGTGTAGAATGAAGGTACTGCCTTTGGATTCATGAGTCTATCAACCGATGTGGATGTAGATCTGCTCAACACCTGTTTTGAGCTTGGTCCATTCCATGGCCTCAGGAAGCCTCATGCTGATGATATTCTCAAAGCTCAAACACCTCTTCCACCAGGTACGTATCAAAGAGGAATGTGATTTAATCAGAAAAATAGAAGATAAAGAGATGGATGGATAGATTGGTAGACAGGCAGATAGATGGATAGATGGATGGATGGATAGACAGATAGACAGACAGACAGACAGACAGACAGACAGATAGATGACACTGAAAATGTGTCGACAGGACTGACTCGTATTACAGATGGTATGTTGGCTATCTCTTTAAAGTCTTTACTTTAAAGCCGAGTACAAAGTGGACAGATATTAGGTATAAGTGATTCTTAACAATCAAAGGGTAAGAACAGACATTTCTTCAATGCTTGTACTTATCCCCCCCCCCCCCCCCCCCTCTCTCTCTTTCTCTTTTTCCCCTTCTCTTCAGAGGAGACAGCCGTTGATGATGAGATAGTTTCAGGCAGCCAAGCAGGAAGTGACAAAGCGGCTTTGTCTAGAACTAGCTCACTATCTTCAATCAAGAAAGGTACTTCTGACTCTTTTAAAGGAACAAGCTATGTGAGCAAATAGTACATGAAAAATGAAACATATGGTCTATTTATTACCATTGTTCATTATAGAGTTCTGTAAGATATCTGGGTGTCAATGTTGAGTTTTACATGAAATGAGTGTTCTTCTTTTTACATTAGCTTGACTTAAATGTTTGTTTTTTTATCAGCTATTTGTTTCTATCTGAATATTCTTCTTGTAACTTTATTCTTTTGATTTTTCTTACGCTGTCTTCAGCCATTTAACATACTGCCAAACTCAACAGAATTTTGTATAAACTGTGTTTTGTTTTACATTACTTACCCTATAAAAGAAAAAGAGCACCTTTTTATAAGCTCACAGAATTGTGATAACTGTTCTTCATGAATACCAATCTTACAGGAGATACTGGTACAGCAGAGCCCACCCCCTCAACCCAACCCCCTGCCCAGACGCCCCAACAGACCAAGGCTACCCCTCTACCAGCTAAAGCAGCCACTCCGATGACGGCTAAGAGCACCCCACTACCAACTAAGGGGACACCTAAACCAGGCGCGACGCCCCTCAACAAACCCCCAACCGTCGCTGGTTAGTGTTTGCTCTACCAATTTCTGACTGTGGTAGAGAAACTTATATTTATTATGTGCTTTATAAATATTGTATTATTATGTAAACATGCTTCCAAGAACAATAACAAATTGAAAACTTTTCAGATTTTTATTTGGCTTTCAATGATTGATGGAGCATGCTGATGAGAATGAAAAAGGAATGATAATTTTAAAAATATATATATTTTTTTAATTTTTAAAATCCTGTATGCTTGTGTTTGTCTTTGAATGCATTTTTAGTGTGTACAATTATAGTTGGATACTCTCTTGATATAGTACTACCAATTTATTTATCATGTCTTTCATATAGGTAATCACATGTGAAATAGTATACAAATATACAATGACACTCCAGGATCAAGCTGAAACTATTCGCATCGAAGGAACATCAACTAGTACTCTCCCGAGGGCCATCGGCCCGAGGGAGAAAAGTACTAATGATGTTCCTGAGTGCGAATAGTTTTAGCTTGTTCCGAGAATGAGTCATTTTATATTTGTTTTATATCCCTTCCATTTGTATTATTCCTTGTACACTTCTGTAATAACATGAACCTTATACTCACATTCACATCTACATTCAGATCGAAAAGAAATAAAGAAAATTGCACGGCTCAAATGAAACATTGAAGGATGTAAAAATGTTAAGCTGGCGCTAGTGTAATGCAGTTATCGCACAGCGTTAATTGCATATGAATGGCTTGAGCGCCGTGACACCGTGGGGGTTGACCGCGCAGAGGCATTTGAAATCATGTACGCGCTTGCTGGGAAAACGCATAGTTCAAGAATATGCATTTTTTTATTGTGACGTCATGCATAGTACCTTTTTTCCCTAGGGAAAAAAGGTACTATGCGTGACGTCATCAATAAAAAGGTACTATTTCGATGTAGGCGGCAGGAAACGTCTTTTATAGTAGTTGTGTACACTCCTAATGCAACAATCTTACGATAAGGGATATAATATCAAATTGCCTCTGGAGACCTTTAGAGATATTCATGTGAGTGTTTTGTTTTATTTACAGGGAGTATCGCCGAATCAGAGCTTCAAGTTGAGGGGAAACTGAGTGATTCCCATATGAAGAGGTATGTTTCATTTGTGACACTGATATATTATGTGTATAATTTCAGTTACATTTCATATCGATATATATATTTATAATATATTCATTTGTAAATACCCTAGAATTTCTGTACAATATTCATATACAGGTAGTCCATAGAATATGTAAAAATCCAATAAACTAAAGGCAATTATTGTCCCCTCAATTCATTTCAGTCATACTTTGTTGCTTGAATGTCATACTCAAAAAAAAAAATAGATATACTGTGTCATATATATATTTTGCTTTAATGGAATGTATACCTTATTTTGTGAATATCCTTGCTGGACTTGCTGCTTTATCTGTTTGCAGTCAGTTACCGGTAGTCATAGTCTCATTAATTTATCTCCTAAACAGTTCTGGATCAGTGATGAGTGACAAAGATGAAGTGGAATCAGTCAAATCTGGAATGTCTAAGGTAGGTCCATTTGCTCCTGAAATCTTCACACATTGAAACTAGTGCAAATGATAATAAGGATTGCATGTGAACTTTTTTTTTCTTCGTTTTTTTCTGTTTACCTGATTAAAGTGCTTTGTAGAATGTTAATTATGTGTGCAGAGTCACACTCTTTACTCCCCCAGGAGAGTACTCATTGCAACTTCCCAAATTGTTTTCTGATCCATACACAAAATGAAAAGCGTATATTGTTTGTAGGATATTACCCTCATTGTTGCATTTATAGCAAAGCACAATTCATCTCTCCTACTTGATTTGATCTCCTTACAAACCATATCTGTTCTATTTTTGTAAATGTCATTTCAGAGGTCTGGATCGATTGCATCTAACCATGATGTAGCTGAAGAAGCTGCACCCTCTGAGCTGAGTGTGTCCTCTGAACCCTCCCTCCCTGAGCCTCGCTTTGAACCTACCTACTACGGGCCAGCTAATGCTTTCTCCATTCAGCTCTTCTGTATTGATGAACGTTATGAGATGAGGTGGGTTGCATTGTCTCTTTTGTTGCAAATGTAACACAATTATTGAACTCTGAATTTTCAGCTGTAGCTTTTTGTTAGTATTGTTTCACTAATAAGGTAACAATGATTTGCAACGATTCATACATCTCAAAATTTGTGCAGATCTTTTTATTTGTTCAATTCAATTCATTGTCCCTCAATTGTTGTTGTTGTTGTTGGTTTTGTGTACTTTCTTACTGTAGGGATATGTAATATCCAAATAGGATTCGCATCATTTATCTATACTTTTGATTTTGGATATTTGAATATCATTTTCTCCTTCATTTTCTACAGGTCCCAAGATTTTCTTCCCATGGCATTCTCTTTGTTTCCTGATCGAGATTTCTGTATTCTCACTGTCCCTCATCTGGTTCCTGAATTCCCTCTCCTACAGAATTTTGTGGTAAGGTAGTTGTGTGCATTATAGTTGTGTGTTGTTTAAAGGAATTATGCTTGTAGAACATGATTGAATGTGTAGTACTTCAAGTCTCCTCAAGAGTCTTTGATGAAATAAACTGCTTTCTCCTCATGTTGATTCTGTTTCTTATATTTTTAGCAAGATAACATAGCTGTATAGATCAAAAAGTCTTTTTATATGAATTACACACCCCCTTTTTTTTTGTAAAGCAATAATATTCATAATTATCAATACTGGATGACATGTTGATAATTTGATAAGTGTTTAGCAGCGGGTCTGTAAATGCAACTGATGACAGAAATTTGAGAAGTTCCAAATCTGATTTTGTCTTCCTACGCACATGCAGCGTGGAACCCCCAAGTGCCCTAGTGTTCTACCCCAGGAGCTGTACCTCTTCCATCGGGCGGGGCTACTCCAATCCTTCACTGTGCGCCCTGCTTGTACCTCTGATGTACCAGCTATCACCACCCTGATAGAAGGAATCTACAACCAGGATGTCATTCTCTCCGATCTGGATCGCTTTAACAAAGCTAGAAGGGATGAGGTAAGCATCTGTGGGGTGTTTCACAAAGCCTTTTTCTATAACAAATTACAAAAAGCAGTGACAAATATGCTGATAACCAATCAGAAGCAAGGATTCCAGTAGCTTATAACATAAACTGTCATTTGTCACTGATGACAAGTTTTGTGAAATGGGGCCTAGATGTGTGCATGGTCTATTCTGTTTGTTATTTCTGTATATCACCATTTGAGCAAGATTGGAGTTTGTGTATAGTTATCAGTTACAATGTAATGCTATAAAAAAAAAAAAAATCAGTATCCCTTCCCAACACCAGAATTATACTTTTACTTTTACTGGTTCCTTTTGACATTTATCTAGCTTTCAAATACCACTATTTTCATTAGAATGGGTAATTTCTATTCAATCAAGTAATTGATATTTGTTCTAAAACAAATCTACTATTTAAATCTGTTTAAGAGTGCTTTACGCACCGTCATGTAATTATTTCCCACATTTTTCAGAGCAGTGGTGCAAATACCAGATATGAATTATGCTTCTGAGCATATATCACAGATAATGAGCCTACCCCATCTTATCCATGTCTCTTAGGATGGCACACCTATCAAGGCCTTTGTGGCCACCTGTCACAGTCAGGTTGTAGGAGTGGCTTTGACACGAGCAGAAGAAGACATTGAGTTCATTCGCTCCCATTATAACATAGAGGACTTCATCTACTTCAACCATCATCGACGAGATGAACACGGTCACCTCCATCACTTTGCGATGAACCCCATCTTTCAGCATCGCTCTAAACATTTCATAAAGGAGATCCTACGTCAGAGCCATCATACATGTCTCTATTATCCTGTCTATCCTGCCTATTCAGTAAGTCTTAAGTTGCAACACTATGATGTCAAAGTAAACAAAAATGACTTCAATCGAGGTACAATGTGGGACTTTCAATCTGCTCTACACAGTATATAGAATTTTGATTGAAATACCTGTTTTTTTTCTCTTACTCTCTTTCTTCCTCCTATTGTTTCTTATGTATATTTGAGTATTAATCATAAAAAGTATACTTACCTATACACGTTTTCATTGATTATTTCTTCAGATTAATGCCGGAAAGTTTTTTGTCTGTTAAATGTTTGCTTATCTTTTGCAATTTGGGTGTGATTCTGGCATTCTTATCCAAGATTATAGTACATCAATTTGTGTGTGTTTGTTTGTTAAAGCAGTTGCTCTGTTAATATTTGAATGTTTATCATTTCCTATCAGAATGACATGAGACACTCTCTAGTCACTTGTCTCAACTTCATGGTACCAGTCCGAGCCAGGAGGCAGATCATGTACCCTCTTGAGCAGCTAGGCCTGAATGCTCCTTCTAACAGAGTCATCAAAGAACAGGTGAGACTTTATTTAAAAATTAGGAATATATTTTATCTGTGATATTTGAGTTGCAACACTGCCACCACCAGGTGATGTTTCAAGTTTCTCCAAGGTCAAAGATAGCACATATATATTTGGGGTAATCATTAGGAGGACAAAGGTTTACCTAATGGGCTTGTAATTGGCAAGTTATGCCTAACCCATAGTTGTAGCTTACTGACTTGTTTCTAACGTGGGGTTTCCTGATTACAAGACAATGCCTTCTCTTTAAGAGCCATCATCACTCAAGATTCTTCCCTTTTGTTTTTCTTTGGTTTGTTTGATAAATAACTGGGGGGCTGGATGTAATATCTGTGAAGCTACATGTAATATCTATGTAGCTACATATTTAGTCAACCTGTTGAAAATAAAAAGCTATTATCTTTTCTAATTGATTTTAGTTTGATAGGCATATCTCTGATCACTAAATAATTTACCATGCTGTCTTTTTACTATTGATATATTACTATTTGATCTGATTGTAGGAAATGTATGCCTTGAGTCATATCAACAGGAAGCTGACCTTGGAACCAAAGGTCACCATTAACGCTCGCATCGTTGTGGTTGGAGCTTCAGATACTGGCATTGCTTTCCTTGAAACACTCGCATTCTGGTAAACATATCTTTTCTTCTATAATAATAATAATAATAATAATAATAATAATAATAATAATAATAATAGCCTAATAGTCCACTCCAAATTTACCTCTATTTACCTCTATTTGTGGTAACAATTAAAGGCTTTAGGGAGGACTTTTTCAATTTTTGTATATTGTCTCTTTTTTTAATAAGTGGAGAGTTGATCAATTTTCAAATTTTGTGAACTTGTGAAAGAAATAGAGCAATGCAAAATGATGGACTAAAATTGTCTTGAATTTATGAAGTATGAATGATTGGGAAAACAAAAGTAGATACCGGTATGTCACCTTATTCTCTAAAATAAAAAAAATTGTTTCTATTGTATTAACTTGACTTATTTTGTTTTACTTTTGGGTGAAAATCTATTACTCTGATTATAATCTTCTCCTTTTTGTTTTGATTTACATAAGCTTTGATTCATACCTTCTAAGAATAATTATGAATTGTCTTTAGGGCAGTATTCTCATATCCACTATTATAGTAGTCTGTGAATCTTTGATAATGTCTGTGATAACATATTGTCATGTCCTCTCTTTATTCACACTCAGCCCCCACTTGAGGTTCAACAACCTGTGCCTTATCTCTCCCAACGGTCTACCTGGTCACATGTCCTTTGATGAGACAAGGTCTCTCTTCCTCTCTACCAGTCATTGCTACACGCATGATGAGCTCTCTCAGATCTCACTCAGGTCATGGGTCAATGTGGTCTCTTCAAAGATGGTTGGAATCAACAGGTTAGTACTTCTCACTTTAAAAGTGACCATAGGGGTTAGGAGGGTGGGAGGGAAGGGGTTTGATTGAGACCCACTCTCACTCCTTTTCTACCATTCACTGCTACACTCACAATCAACTCCATCAGATCATGCGTTAATGTGGTCACCTCCATGATCACTTGTATCAACTGGTATTTTACCCACTCACTCCAACATTAATCTTAGGGGTGAGGTAAAGGTGAGATGGGGTTGTGTTTTTTGGGGGTGAGGGTGTGGAGGGGAAGGGTAGGTGTTTCTGATCCTCTCTACTTGCCACAATTTCACCCAAGTTGAGCTTTCTTAGATCTTACTCTGAACATGAAGTCTCTTATTGGATAACAACCAGACAGTTTAGCAAATATCACACACATTAAAATGAAAATAAGATGAAAACTGTTCTCTGTATATTTAATCTAATTTATTGGGCTACTCCTACTTTCACTTTCCATATCTACAAAGAGAAAGATGTGGAAGGTTAAATAGTCACCTCTTATCAATCAATCAATCAACTTAATCAGTGATTATGAAGTTTTGATGAGTTATGAGGTATAGCTGGAACAAAGAAGTTACATTCTGTGCTAGTAATGAAAATTACAATGTAAAATTACATGGAGAATGTGCTTCAATTTTTGTTCATTACTGATTAATTAGTATTACTGAAAAAAGTCCTTGAAAGAAAATTAGATGCCTCAAAGATTTGGAGAGATATGAATTCAGAATAAAAAGTGAGTTTCTTTAAAAACGAAATGTCTGGAATTGTTACATGTGTGTATATATACAGCATGCCATATCAGTTGTTTATTTAATTTTCATAAAAAATACAATCAAATCAAATAAACATTCATACAAAAAAAAAAAAACGATGAAAATACAGAGTAATCAATATCATTGACAATGTATAAAAAATGTTTCACTTTACAAAGTGTATAACATGAAAAAGGAGAACTTTTAAAAAGCCAACAATGGCTTTATGAGACAAAGTTCCTAGTAACATGGAAAAGAGATAGTAACATTTCAAAACTGATGAATGCTATTGTAGGCTTTTATTTCCTTCACTTCCTTTAATAGCCATGCAAAATATGTTAGTTTCTAAAAAATGCAATTTACATAGTAAATACCTACAAGATATGCACAATTGTGTATGTTTTTAAAGCCATGATATTGTGCTTCACTGTCACTTCCACATTAATGATTGTGTTTGGAGTGCTGTATAATCATTGAATTTCAGTCTCACAAACTCTATATCAAACAATTATGGTTCAAAGATGTACTCTGTCTTAGTACTTAGAGAGGAATGGCATTATTTATAGCTTTGTTTGCTCTCATGCTTCTCTCAAACTGGGCCCAAAATAGTTCCTGTCCATCTTCATCCTCCACCCACAATATGTAAGGTTTTTTCTTACTCATGAACAACCTGACAAGGTACGGCAGGTGATCATCCTGGATGTCCTCCAGGAAGATCAAGATGACTTTATCCAGTCCTGTATCATTGATGTGCTCAAGAGCTATACGAAGCTTAGTCATAAACCAGGTATCGTTGATAGACTGGTTGCTTAGCAGTAAGACAGTCTTGAAGCTGTTCTCGGTGACATCATGGATTGCATTGATGTAATACATTCCTAAAGGGAGGTAGTCGTCCCCATAGACGATGTTCTGTAGATGTGGCAACCTCTCCTCCAGTGCAGGTTTCATGACCCGTTCAACCCACTCCTCTTCTGCTTCATGGAACATGAGGTTAAGATGAAATTCATACTGGTCTGCATTGAAATCTTCTGCCATCTCTTGATGGCCTATGATGGCTAGTTTGAGAAGGAAAAGTTTGTGATTAAGCCACCATCGTTTGTTATATGCTATTACCAAAGAAAGGCTCACTGCAAAAGCCAAGAAAGACATTCCACTTATGAGTAAGATATTAAGACCACAGAAGTCAGCAGGTATAAACATCAAGATAGGCTTACCAACCACAGCTTTGAAGGATGTATTGTAACATTGTGTTTGGTTGGGTCTTTTTAGGATGATGTCACTTTTTTGTAGCCAAGTGATAAACCAGTTTAATTCACAAGTGCAAGCGAACCGATTATCTGAAATATCAATCCTTAATGTGTGATTTGTAGGGAAGAATGTTTCTCTGTGCACTTTACTGATATGATTACCTGAAAGATAGAGATAATGCAGCTTTGGAGTGGTTACAAAGAGGTTCTTGTCAAGGACTTGTAATCTGCTGTTCTGAAAGAAAAGGGATTTAAGAGAATCCAGCCCTTTAAAAAAACTGGCGAAGGTAGTTGTTATGGCATTCTCATTGAGATACAAAGTTTTCAAGGATATTAAACCCTGGAATAACCCTGGTTTAAGATAAACAATTTTACATTGAGACAGATCCAGTGAATGAAGCTGAATGAGAGGACGGAATACTCCAGGTTCTAAACCATTCAAGTCATTATCCATCAGATTGAGCTTCTTTAGGGAGACAAGACCCTCAAAGAGAGATGATTGTGTTACATTTTTGTCAAATAGATCATAATAATGTAGATAATTATGGCACATTCTTAATTCTTGCAGAGATGTAGTCTCAGTAAATTGATGAATGGATGTCCAGGATGTGTCTGCTTGTGATATATCTAACTTTGTAAGATTTTTCATTTGACTGAAAACTTTATTTAGACTTTGGACTTGCTCTGAGATGAGGTAAAGCTCTCGAAGAGATGGAACATTATTGAATGTTACATTGGAGTAATCGTTTATTTTGTTGAAGGATACATCCAGAATCTGTAAGTTAGATAAGTTTCCACTGAAGAGGCGTGGGTGGAGAGTGATAAAGTTGTTATTGGAAATGTTGAGCAAATGAAGTGCTGGGTTATCCCATTGTTGACGATCATCTACACGTTTCAAGGAATTATAGGATAGATCAAGGGTGTGAAGTGCAGAGAGGCCTTGAAATGACTGAATATTTAACCGAGTGATTTCATTACGTGAAAGGATCAATTCTTGCAGTTGAGGGTTACAAGAAAACATGCCAATCTTTAAGGATTTGATACGGTTGTTGAATAGATCCAAATACATCAAGGAATCAAGTCCACAGAAAGAATCAACAAACATAGTTGTAATCTTGTTCCCTTGAAACTTCAGTGTGCGAGTTTGATTGAAGCCTTGGAAGGCATACGGGGGTATATAAGCAATGATATTTCTACTCATTACAATAGAACTTATGGCAGGAAAACTGGCATTGGATAGACTGGAATTATCAATCTTAAAAATGTTTCGTATTCTACAGCCAGTTACCGACAACGTATCGATGTTCATTTTGCCAAGAAATGAACTCAAGTTAAAATTGAATAATGAGTTGCCATCCAGAACAAGCCATCTTACTCTGTTAAGATATGAGAATAATCTTGCTGGTAAACTATGCAGGTCATTATCATCCAAGGACAGCATCTTCAGTGAGTGGTTTTGGAGTGGTTTGAAGTCAGAGGCTTCAATAGAAGAAATTGCGTTATGACTTAAATCAATGACAGATATTTTACTTGAATGGGTGAAAGCTGTAAAGTCTGCCACCTGAATGGAATTTTTTCCAAGAAAGACGCTTTGTAGTAAAGGAACTCTTGAAAGTGCATCAGTGGGGATAGATGAAAAATTGTTCTTGAAGAGCATCAGTCTGAATAATAGATGATTTGCATCAAATATATTATGTTGCAGATGTGTAAGCCTGTTCTGTGTCATATCCAATGTTTGCAGGTTGGTAAGAGGCAAGAATGTTCCAACTTCTAGATCAGAAATAAAGTTTGCTTTCACACTCAGTGTATTCAGCTGCTGAAGACATTGAAAGGAATCGTTTTGTAGAACTCTAATCTGGTTGTATGATACGTCTAGCATGATTGTGTTCCGTGGGAGATGAGGTGGTATTGAGGTCAGTCTTAGATGTGAGCAGGTAGCTTTGATTCCACGAGTCTTGTTTTTCAATTGGCAGCTATTGGTGGCCAGTTCGGCAGATCCAACTAAGCCTTCTGCATCCAGGAAATGTCCGGTCCATAAGATGATAAAGAAATAGATATACATGGTGCATGATGCTGTAGAGGAGTTCTTCATAATGCACAATGCTCTGATGCTCTATCGTCTTCAACAGTCCAATCAATTCATAAATAAAGCAAGATATGACATCAAAACTTCAAGCAAAACATTATTTAGATTCAAAAGTCAAAGCTGCAAAATGCCATAACAAGAGTTAGAATATCATACAATGTTGATCTGCTCTGGACTAGAGATCGATGCATGGCAAGGTCTGTCATGAGGACTGAATGAAATCACAAGTGGAAGCCTCAATAAGTTATGTTTGGTTACCATTATGATATATATTATTCAACATGTGACAGCTTCAAGCCAATTATTCAGAATCAATTCCCTCCTTTCATGTTACAAGATATACTACAGAGACACTAATTGTTTCATGATTGAAATTAATTACCAACTAATTGTAATGAAACTAGCTACCCTACCATCAAAGAAGTATCAAGTTCATGCGTGGGAATGAAGTGCCTCTGTGTAATTATTCAATAAAGAATGAGTTGTATTATATCACATGATTGCCGTTGATGACTATTCTAATAATAAGCAGTGTATGTTGTTTTCTTATCTTTGCATAAACTTCTTTTCCTCTTTGTGCATGTATACTCATTCATATTCAAAAAAATTCAATTGAACACATTGGTTAAAAATTCTAGTAGCCGAAGATAGTTGAGCAACCGATTGTAGATCCAGGCAAGTTTGTATTTGCTATTCATCCAATTTGTGGTGATTTCATAATGAAATACAGACACAACTTGTGTGATGTACATGTAGTCTTTTTTCTCCCATACAGTATACAGAGTATGTATAAATAGAAGACTATTTCTACAGATCTTAACAATGTTGAGCGGATTGAGCACTACATGCATGTTTTCTTTTATACCTACCCAGATTAAGCAAGTATGTGAAGATAGCAAATGGGACAAAGGTGCCCTATGATCATCTGATCATCAACACAGGCCAACAGTATCAGGTAAGAACAACTGATGTTAGACGACAGCTAGTACTCTGCCCCATCAAACGCATTTGGTTATTGTAACATATTCATATATTTGTTGTGGAAGAATTTCTTTTTCTGATTCCTTCTCACTCCCTCATCCTCTTTCTCTTCATTTGCTTGAACATATATATCTGTTTTCTAAAGTACTCCGTCATAATTTCACATTCTTTCTCATCAATTCATTGTTTTTAAGAATACAGTTTAGATTGTTTATCTATCTGTTCACTCTTTCTCTTCCATCTGTCCATCACCATCCTCTAGGTGAGTAGTCCCACCGGAGCTGATGTCGGCAAACTGGTCACCAATAAAGAGGTACCCAACAATCCTGACCGCAGATACGTCGGTCCTAAACCCAAGAATGTATTCACCATCAATGATGAGAGTGATGCAGCAGCCACCATCAAGTGGCTTAACAAGAGATTCATCAGTGCTGAAGGTAAACATTTCTTCTTCTTCTTCTTATGGATAATCTGCCTCCTTCAATACTGAAGATTCTTGCAGATTCTTGGGGTGTGCAGGTGAACCACTGCACCAGGGTTTCCCCCTACTCTTATAGGAATAGTGCAGTGGGTTCTTAACGTACAAAGGTGGTGACTCTCCTTTACACAGGGCCTCCATTTAACATCCTATCCGAGGGACGGAGTGTTTTCCACTTAACATCTAGCCTGCGTCTATGAAACAAGGAGAGGGGCATGTTAACACACAACGCTGGCCTCAGCCGTCTGCCTGGGTGAGATTCAAACTGAGATCTTTGATTCGACAGGCAGACGCTTTACCGACTAAGCCAACTATCCTCCTTACAAGTGATGCTTTCTCTTTGAGCTCATTGATAATATCAGTCCAATGTCAATGTAGTAAGTGTGACATAACTTATTAAGGTCCATGGGTCTTGAAAATTCCTGTTTTACATTAATTTTTCTGAAAATAACAATGGCATTATAATAGAGATCAAAGATATAACCATCCATGGATGATGGTCTTCCTCTTTCGGGTTGCTTTGGAAATGTGGGAATATTTGCTTTAGTAGATGCTATCATCATCGTTGATACTATTGTGATATTCTCTCAATCACATTAATTGCTGCTTTATCTAGGCAAAGCCATCATATATGGTAGCAGCTTAGATGCATACACTGCCGTCCAGACCCTACTAGCCCTAGATGTCCCTGGTCACCGTATCGCCATGGTACAGCCACCTCAACGCTTCACGGTCACATGCTTCAACAACCCTACCGTCCATGAGGCTGTACATCACTCCATGGCACAGGCTGGAGTAGAGCTCTACCAAGGCTACTACCTGGCTCAATGGAACGATGGGAAGGGTGTGTCGGGAGACGGAGAGGTGTACTGTGCCTCGTTCACCTCGGACACCAAGCCTCTCAAACTGGAGTGCTCAGCCTTCTTCTGCTACAGTCGTAAGGCAGTGGACTATGAAGCATTCAAAGGTAGGCTTATCATTTGTATCTTCCTGATCTTTAAGATGAAGGAGGAGAACATTCCAGGGTCAGTTGTAAGGTCAATAGGCATACATCCCTAAGATATTGATGATAAAGGAAGCTGATCATGCAACCAGACAGCTATGTATATCACAAAGTTGTTGTAAACCGTGACAGGTGCAGGCAAAGAATATAGAAGTTATTTTGAAACTCCAGTGACTCCTAACAGTTGTCATTATGCAGTTGCTTGATTCTTGATTTCTCATACTTTTGGAAAGGTTAATATATGTAGATAAGCCATTTAATAGTTATCATTTTTTAATCTCCCAGCAATCAATGACAGCTGTTTGGTTTATGATGGTCGATTGGTCATCGATGCTCTCTTCCATACCAATGACCTGTCCATCAGGGCTGCTGGACCACTCACTAAATTCCAGAGGAAATACCATGCTGAACAATGGTTAGTATACCAAAGATCACAGTAATACTTTAGCTCTATCATATTCTGCAAAAAATAATATTTGTATAATACAAGCACAGGCCTTGTAAATTGTTGATATTTATAAATATATATACATGTAGGTAGGGGAAATAGGAAAAATTGTATAAATCTTGTTTTTGTAATATTTTCAGTAAAAAACAAACAAACACAAAGGAGAGGAATCTTTTAGGAAGGCCTTTGACATTATAATAGATGTTTTGATCGATTTACTCGAATATTAAATGTTTTTCTTTGGTTTGCTGACATTGACTATTTTCAATTTCAAGCCATGTCATGAACATTCATGAATATTCTACTATCTACTATCTTGTTTGTTTTCCTTCCTCCTTTTCTTTTGCTACAGGACCCATGCCAACTTCAACCCTAAGGAGGTGGGTCGCTCCTTGGCCTCTACCATGCTCCGTCTCTTTGACCCTACCATCGAGAATGACGTTGCCCCTCCCCCAGAGCCTCATTGTCTGATCCCCCTCTACCAGGGTGCTAAGGTACAGGGCGGGGTCTTGCCAGGGGGTCTTCACTACCTTCACTATGGCAAACCTGGTCTTGACATGCCTCTAGAGGTACAGATGGCACAGGCAGACTATGTAAGTAGCATCACATGATACATATATGCAAATCTCTGATTAAAAAACCTAGGGTCCTTTTATAATCTTTTACAATGCATATTTTCAGATGCTATTATATGCCAGTATAGCCTGCCATGTAGTGCTGACTTCTCAGTGTCCTTTCATTGTGATCAATCAAGTCTTTCAGAACTTTTCGATTTGATGTCTTATACTCTCAGTACTCCATGGGAAACATTGATTACGGTAGTTTGTTATAGATCACTAGTCAATCATGTAAGATTTAACGATGAATTGAAGGTCACTTCAGTAGAAGTTAAGCAGTCAATTTACACTAAGATTATTCTATATGTTTAGTAATCAATACTTTAATGGTGATTAAAATCACTCTGCTTACATTACTACTTATTATCAATATTGATATTCTCAAAACATGTTCAATAAAGGAAACCTACAAATTGGACTTAAAATCAAAATCTTCTATTTCATTGATACAGAAGTTCTTTAAAAGCTATTGTTTTATGTTACTATCACTACCTCTGATAATCTATGCACTCTTTGTTTGTATAATCGTAGGGTCGCGAGATCATCACTGTAGATACCCAGCAGAACTACTTCCGCCTTCACCTTAACAACTACTCCAACATCCAGACCGTTACATGTCTCTCTCATCAGGTAAGTTAGAGGGACCGTCACTCATTCCAAAGTGTGTGTTTTATACTTCTGCTATTCTGTACAATGAGATGAAGTTTACCTTCAATTTTGAAATGGTGTGAGTTGGTTTTTCCCATCGCATTTTTTATATGTAATTCTAATTCGTGGTGGGTATTCATTATTTAGAAATGCCAAGATGTTTGATATATGTACTTTTGATCTCTCATAATCTGTCATAGGCAGTTTTGCATTTTCATTAAAATTTCCTTTTTATGGGTCTTTACCCTCAGTATTATTGAGTTCATTCTTTATCATGTATATCTTGAAAAAATCATTTCTCTCAGGTAACATTTGGTTGGGCATTGCTCTACATTTGAATGAGCTTTTCTCGTAATTTGTTTTGTTTTTGTTTATGATTCCAGCCGATTGATGTGTCCAACCTGTTGTGTCTGTACAACATCCATGAGAGATTCTTGAACAACCTGGTATCGAGGTTTGATGAAGGTCTCATCAAAGATCTCTACGCCTACTTCAGAGAGACTTGGAGTCTTGCTATCTTCCATGACAGATTCACAGACTTCAGACAAGAGGTCCGAGAGCTACTGGTCCAGAGACCGGTAAGTAGATCACAATAAAGGCACTAGCTAATGATCAGATAGTATAGATGAAGCTTTATCTTACTTTACCTGTTATTTACTATGCTATTTTACGTATACCATCTCATCTCATCTCAGATAGCGGTAATAATATATCTGTAAAGCGCTGTGACACATCGTTGTATTGGTGTATTGGGTACTACATAAAAGCAGAATATTATTATTATCATTTGATACCTTTCAACTCGGAAAGCCTCCAAATCCTGAAATCATCCTTAAAGTATTAAATGATTTTTGAATATTCAGATTCCTAATGAAAAGAAAAACATGTTTTTTTCTGTTTCCAGGCCGTTGATGTGAGTTCCTTGGAAGAGAAAGTTAGAGAGCTCATCTCACAAGATCTGCTGGTAAGTTATTTACTTCATCAGATTTATATCCTCAAAATGTCTTTCGAGACAGTCCTTGAAGTATATATACTTTGACAGAATTGTAATACTTTTAACAGGAAAGAACTTGGTATTGCCAAACAGATTTGATATTCACCTAAAAATAATCACTGATCTAAAGCCTATATTTTCTCATTTGTAACATACCAGTGTCATAAAAATGTGTAAACTCATCTATGTCAAAGTGAGATCCTGTATCAGCCTTTTCTACAAACATATATTCCTCTCTTGAAATAAAACCTAGAATAAATACCTTCCCAAGACAAGAACAAACTTAGTTCTGGTATTTCAATTAAGGTCATTCAGACAGAATTCTTTCCAGTCTTTTGATATCCGCTGGAAGGCTTGTATTGATGAATGTTATCAGGCATCAGCTCCCAATTGAATTCACATTCTATTTTGAGATACCATGATAACATGACAATAGTATGCTAGAGGAGTCGAATCTTACAAAATATTTGTGGTTTGAATTCATGATCTGATAATGTAGAACCCAAATCATGATTGTGGCAATGCAATTTATTACATTTTTCTTCAAGCATGACTGTTGCTTTATTCATTTAACATTGAATAAGAAAAATACAAGCTGAGAGAAATATAGTGAACAATAAGAACGGAGACATAACGAGAGATGGATTTGTCAACTAGAACACGCATCAAATGTAGAATTTTAATCCTTGGAACTATCAGGGCTATTTTATCAAAGAACTCTTTCTTCGCATTGCTTGCACTAAGTATATTTCAAATAACACAAACACAATGTGAAATTATAGAAAATGCTTACTTCCTTTTAGTGTAATATACCAACCTCCTAATAAATATCAGGCCAATTATCTGTGATTGAATTACTATTATAACCAGATAAATTTTCTTAATATCATAATATGATTTTTAATTTGCATTTAATTTTCTGTATAGTTGGAAAGCCACGACCGCAAGTATTTGGCTGAGCAGTTTGATCAGCAAGGTAACAAGAGGGCTGTGGAGACAAGACTACTGAGTTTCTTGAGCTATAACTACTACCACCTCCCTATGTATGCCAAGCCAGGCATGGTCTAAGATGTGGAATGAAAACAAAGAGCAGGAAAATATGAAGAATAATGATGGAACACTAACAGCCTTTGCATAACTAGTCTGTTGTGAATTGAGGGTCTAGCCAGCCATCAATGAATTTCTTAGAGTCTGAAACCTTATGTCTCAATGAAAACCAGAATCTTTGCAAATTACATATCTATTGTTCTCATGAAAATTTTATATATTTGAAAGAAAAATATGTTAAACAAAATAGGAATAACAGAATGCAAACGATCTAGCAATGCTTTATACAAAACCCTGTTCTGAAAATCAGTACTTTGTATCTTTGCAGAACTTTTTTTTGGTCATATATAATTCATGCTCTCGTGAACAAAATGAACCAATGAGTTCTATTCTTTAACAGAAAAACACGAGGAGAACCTTATTAAGGAATACGAGAGAGTGATGATGAACCTATATCAAAGTATTCCTTCTTGAATTGTGAAATTGTTTCCAACTCCTGTTGAGTTTCATTTAATAATAACTTATCAAAGTTATCTTGGACCAGACATTTTGTGTGTAAACATTAAAGATATTATTAACCACGCTATTGTCCTATCATACATTCACTTTTACTTTAAGATGTTTTGAAAGAAAAGTAGTGTTAATGCTTTCTGATTGCCTTTCCATTTCACACACAGAAGTCAGAGATTATTTTGAAATGTTATATTAAAAGGAAAATTGCTGCCTGGAGTTATTAATTCTAGAGAGATTTAATACATTTCACATTGACCGAAAGAAGTAAACATTGTGAACTGGTTCATTTCAAGAAGTATTTGTCAAATTTTCAAAGTACTTATTTTTCAGATTATTTTTGTGGGAACTGGATGTGGAGCATGCTATTCTCATTTCATATATCATTTGAAGAAAAGCAAATAATGGAAGGGGGATTCAAATGGAAGCTTTGATGTTACATGTGACATGCTTAGATGGGGGAAGAAGCTCAACTCAACATTTAAGCATGTTCAGGGATGAGCTTCCTCTGCCTATTGGTGGATTTCTGCCTACCGGTATTTAGAGATTTCAAGATACGCGGGGAAAACAAATTAAACTTTCAGATTATCATTAATTGTACGTCTAAGCATTGACCTTAGCAGCATTTTTCTCTCATCTGAACAATGTTAAAGCTGGAGTCCCTTTAAGCAAGCTGGGGTAACAAATATTTCTCAAGTTTAGAATGCAAGGAAAACGTGTCCTTTTACGTAAATATATTCTAAAGTTTTCTTCACCCCTGCCAGGGGGTTGCCCCCAGACTCCCATTTAATCTTCCTCCTTTTAGGGGAATTTCCTTGTCTCATCCCCTGTATGTTGTTATATAGAATAGAAGAAAAAATATCTTACTGAATGTACATGTAAATATATGGATTATTTAGATGGCCATCACAGTTTGAGTGAAAGATATATGTTGTATATCAATATAGAATGCACTATTTTGGTAAAAGAGAATGTGTATATAACCTCCACTGTATAATGATATGATGTAAATATTTTTCTGTCTTGACTTGATGAAGCCTTGAGATTTGAAGAATATAAAAGTTTATTTAAATACATAGATTGAAAAAAAAATGTATATTTCAGTTTGAATTGTTACCTTGATCCACTAATTTTGACTATATTTCTCATTCCATCCATACTGTTTTGCAGTTTTGTACAGTGATATACAGTATATGCATGTATATTGATATGTAATGTATTGGTATGAATAAAGCAAGTAAAAAACAATGTATAAAATTTACGTCCATTTCTTTCTCTCTCTTGGGTCACCTGATTACGAGACCACTGCTCTACCGACTGAGCTATCGCGGGCAAAATGTTCAACTAACTGTTAAACTAACCTTGCGCCAAAATGTTGAGATTTCTGAATTTTTCCCAAATGTGCCTTAACACCCCCTCTAGGAACAAACAGGGATCAATATAATTCTGAGGCCATATTGGGACTTTCATGATGAGAAAACAAAGAAGATTGAACACTTTCATTTTTTGGCAAAAATGCCCGGCCTCCCCACTCAGTGTTATTTAGGGTACGCATGTGTGTTTCCTCCTTTTGAAAACACCCCCAAGTCCGGTGTGTAAAGTCAATTTTGAGTATGTACGAGCCGGACTTTGGTGCGTGAAAAGTACCCCTTTACCGGACATTTTGGTAACACGCATGCGGTCATTCTGACCCCGGAGTGGGGGGGGGGCCGGGCAAAAATGATGAATTAACCCTTGCCATTTTGGCCCAAAAGTTGAGATTTTTGAATTTTTCCCAAATGTGCCCAACGCCCCTTCTAGGAACAAACAGGGATCGATATAATTCTGAGGGCATATTGGGACTTTCATGATGAAAAAACAAAGAAGATTGAATATTTTCATTTTTTTCCTAAATGTGCCATAACGCCCATTTTAGGAACAAACGGGGATCAATATAATTCTGAGGGCATATTTGGACTTCCATGATAAGAAAACAAAGAAGATTGAAAATTTCCTTTTTTTGAGGACAAACAGGGATCAATATAATTCATAAGTTTCCTATTTTCAATCGGATATTGGTCAAACTTCACTAATTTGTTTCTCTCATTTTTCTGCTTTGATTAAAACCAGCTTTATATCAGGGGAGACTTCCCATTTATTCGATCATCATTAGTTACTCATCATCAATTATCATTGTGGTGGTCTAGTGGATAAGTCACCTGACTGCAGATCACAAGGTATAGGGTTCGAGTCCCGCCGTGACTTTAATATCCTTTGGCAAGACAAAGATTTGCCACTCTCCACCCAGGTGTTAAATGGGTACCCAGTAGGATGCAAATGTTCAATGGCATCCTGCCTTTTTGAAAAATAGGAAGGAGGAGGCCCTGTTTTTTTCTTCTTTAAAATGGCCGCTCAAAATGGCCACTCTGTACATTTTCCCCGACAGTCAGGCTTTTTTTTAAGGTGGCCGCCAGCATTTTTTAAATTAAAAAAAAAAAAAAATCATGTTTGTTTTTTTTCTTAAAATTTTTTTTAAAAAAGGAGGTGGCCGCCAAAAAGGAAGCGGGCGGGGACGCTAAACAATAATATTTTTTGACATGGCCTTAGATGAGCAAGTGCGAGCTTAAATGACGCCTGGCTGGAATGCTCCCCAGGGAGTGGAGAAATGTGCATACATTTGTGTGCGGGCAAGCTTGAATCCGATGACCGGGGTAAATATATATCTGTAAAGCGCTTACAGACATCATTAATGTATTAAGCGTTACATAAAAGCGGATTATTATTATTGTAAGTTACCAATTATTGATATCACCACCACAAATATCATCATTATCTTCATCAAAATCATCATTGTCGTCACCAACGAAATTAATGAAGATATCAAAATCGTTTTCACCAACATCATGCATACAACTATAATCCAACCTAATATCATTCATATCAAATAATGAAAGATAGGGAGACAATAATGAAAAGATAGGGAGACAATATAATTTCTCTTATTCAAGGTGGAATTTAATAACCGACCAATGCCACACAAGTTTGTACACACAAAAGTTCAATCTTTCCGTCTTTGCATTTGCAAACACGAACGTGATACACATTCTAATAAATCATATTGCAAATATAATATTCTAATCGAAACATATAGATGCCTACCTCATATAATAATCACTCTCTTCTCACTTGTTCATGAACTTTTGTCATAGTAAAACACAAATTCAATTCTGCCCTTCAAAAGACAATTACTGCACATAAAATCTCTTCCGTTTCCATGATTATAACTAGATTTCTCTGATTTCTTTTTTTCTACAGGATCTGTATTTACAATCTAATGTGCTAAAATATCTTGCAAATGTTTCTCTTCACTGGTAATAAATAAGGGTTAACTGTGACATACATACATACATGCATACAATATGTAAGCAAGACATGGAAAGAAACAGGTACACATATCATGCAGCAACTGACCAACTTTCATAAAGCCTGCCATTTACCAATGTCTTGATGGTGACCTCTTTCATCCAGATTTCAAAGCAAAATTTTGGCCAACCTAAATAGATGTATGTACCAACACGAGCAGCAAAATGTCACTCAATATCTTAAAGACACACATAAACACACATACAAACATACACACACAAACTCTTGTCTTTCAATGGAATAGTACTTAAACCTAGTAAACTGTTTGACATATTTTGTTAACCAATTATTAAGTAATGAAGAAGAGAACTAAGAATTCACTGTGTGTATAAAAAAAAATGCTTACAGGAAGTAAAAGTCCAACAACATCTCTTTTTTCCATCTCCTTTACGTTACACTTATGAAGCATGAAAGACTTGCTGTACAAAGTTTCATATACATTTGTGAGACATTCTACTTTTATATTCTATATTTCTATATACCTCTTCATATCTAATTATCTAGAAAGAATCAGTAATATCTTTAATATAAACAATGTTTGCTATACATAAACCAAATGGTTAGTCAAATTGTTCTGAAATATTTTCTTTACACGTAAACCAAATCAATTGAAACAGCTATTCCACCAATTGATGATACGTGCAACTGTCTTGGATTTGGTTTTCCAATTACAATGAATAGAATACACATATAAAGAATAAACATTTCAACTTGTAATCTCTAATGCAAATATAGAAATGATCTCCTTGGGTATGGTATAAATGCATAGAATGTGCAAAAAGAGTATAGAAAATCTAACAAAGTTGCCTGAATATCTTTCTCTTCTGAGTTATATACATTATGAGAGAATACTACTATCTACAAAATAAATTCTCTTACAGCACATGCAAGAGAAAAAGAAGGCAAGTATGTGCATTCAATACTGATCTACATTCTCTAATTCTCAAACTACGTTCATGGGATAGTCATGACAAAGTCAAACAATAGAATACTATCACATCCCATCACTTACAAATTCGGTATAATGTGTCACAAATTGTTCAGTATGCATTTGAACAAAAGAAATTTCATCACTAAGAAATGAAGGGGAAACTATCTCGACATATTTCTGGAAAATGACTTTATTTCACAAGTGAAATGGTCAAGACAAAGATAAATAGATGAAATATGTATAACTATGTACATTTTATAAATACAAATATACTTTTGTACGAAAAGAACCAATGATATTTCTGAACTGTACAAAATGGGAAAGGGAGACACATTTTCTGACAATTTATCAGTAAGGATTTATTTCATCATAATGAATAACTAATAAAAAGAGCAGTGATGCCTGACTGCTACTAGACATACAAGTGTGCATTGAAGGTATTCTATATAAATGAAGTTTGTGATATCCACATCAGACAGCCATAATTAATACAAAAATGCTTACAAAAAGACCTTTAAATGTATTCATATTCATATGTAGTGAAATGGTAAATCATGCAAATTGATGTAAGATTGCTATCTATCTATCAACTTAAACTGACATTATCATCAACTGTAATAGATGTATACTGACAAAGTTAGAAAAACTTGCAAAGGTTGTATAAAAATGACAGCACCATATTTCCATTATTGAAATGAAATTTACAGATCGAAAACCATGTGGTAGCCAACAGAAATATTTTTCATGTGGCGTACTTGATTGAAATGAGACATTGATACTTGTCATATAGCAGCATACACTTAAAGATAAGCAATAAGAACAATAGAGATAAACAATGCATCAATTCATTGCCAGTCTCTTCCAAATTAATAGGATATTCAAAGCCAAAAGCTCCTGATTTTCAAAAAATTGTTAGCCCATGATATTTTCACATCTTTAGATAAACTGACATTCAAAAACGTGAGTTTGTTGAAATCAATAGTATAAAAGAAAAAGAAATAGAAGGAAAGAATTTTAAAAAAAAATTAATTTGTTTTTCTAATGCTCCTCATTCTATCCTGTTTCTATTCCCTTCCATACAAGCAGCACATTGGTGTGTTATGAAGCACACTTTATTATGTTTACTTTCACTTTCTATACCTTGACTTTGGTTAGGTATAATCAAAATTCCTGAAAAGTGGTCATCACATCAAAACCCTCAGGATAATTAATCATTTGTTTCTTCTCCTTAAGGAGAGGATAAGAACTTAAGTCTGAAGAACTCAATTGATCATTTCTATCATCTCTTTCTTTCAACTGTTTTGTCAAGTGGTCTGGGTTCATCCAAGTTTGGCCAGCTTCTACTACAAGTAGCAAAATCAGAGTTTCGCAGACAGCTGAATTCATCCTTTCCTTAACTCATCTTTCAAATCCTCGTCTAAGATATCAACTCCAGGTCAAAGGTCATGAAGTAACAAAGCAGCACATCATATAGCATCTACCAATGGCCAATCAATTTTGGTCACTTCAGTAAAATATTCAAATGTTTTATAGTCCTCATTTTGAATGCAGTATGTCTTTGATCAATGAACACTCATAGCCTCACTCCTAGCATCACTCCTGCCCAGAATGGGGAACTTGCTCACTCTGGCAATTAGGCATCATCATGTCTTCAAGAGTCTCTATGCCATCTATGTGGGGCTTGGTTTGTGTCTCTTCGGCGAGCAGCACAGGAGATTGAGGCACTTGATCATTGCCAGATGAGCGCGACAATTGATCAGTCGCTCTTCCAGGCGGGCTGTCTCTTCCTCCATGGGCGAAGGGGCGAGCTCCCCGAACTGGGACTCCACTTCTTCCAGAACGTGGACTGTAAGAGATAATAGATAGAGGTATATGATTAGATCAACAGTTCCAGACATTAAACCTATCTATACCAGGCTACCAGCACAACACATAGCAAGGACATATAACTATTTCATCCATGTACATATAGCTTCCATTTTAAAGATTTTCAGAGATATTCTCTTCCTTTGTAGGTACGAGAATAACTTCTTTAAATCAGAATGATTTGGGAATGAATTTTACTTGGTGAGTAAAACAATCAATCGTAAATTGAAATCTTTTGAAGTTATATTGAATAACATTTCAAAAGCAGAATTTATTCATTTCCTCATTGAAGATATTAATCTCAGTTAGAAGCGAGGAATATAGCGGTACTTTCCTCGTGGTCGGGATTGAGTTCAACAAAATGGTAAACACAAGGATTTTGGCCTTCAGAACCGGGTTCTGATTCACAAGTCATAACAGTCAGGTGGATTATAGAATTAGAATAGCAACAAAGAAATTATATGCTCCACTAACTCATGCAATACCACAAAAAGTACAGGGTAAAAATGAAACTGGGATATCAAATATAATATGTGTGCATATATGACACAGAATTGCAATGAGTTTTCTGGATTGGATAACCTCCAGACTCTTACACAAAGAAACAGAAAATGGAAAGAAGGCAAACTTGAATCATTGGATTATCATATGTTATGTAAATGAAAAGTAAGAGCACTGTATATCACATAGTCACATAACTTCATGCTCAACATAGTGAAAATTCATATTGATAGGTTAGAAGTGAAGGGTAAACAATAAAGATTTAAATATTCAATGAAAGGAAGATCTTCAACAACAAGAAAAGAATTATGAGGACTTCAAAGTTAAAATGGAACACTTAGACAGGAAGAAACAAAGAATGTTAAATAAAATAACACCAAACAATGGTTATAGGAATGTAAGAGGAGCTGATTTAAAAGAAAATTGTGTCATAGAGGGAAAATGAATGATAAATTAACTCCTAAAGTGAGGTATTTGAAATGTACAAATGCCAAAACTTATACTGCTCTCTTAAAAACAACCAATCCATAAATAGTATCACCTGAATAACGTCAGGCGATAACAGAAACACAATACCTGCACAAATACTTCTTAAACTACAAGGCAATCCATCATGGTTAACTAATCCTACTATGATGAATGAAGCAGTAAAACTGCGGCAGATTAATACACCAAAGAAAAGATTAAATGCAGGGGAGGATAACTGAAGGAGGATGGATACTGCTGGTTACACATGATTGATACATTACAAATAAAATGTTGGGTAAAAGAAATATAAAGGAATGAATTTCAACCAAAGAATAGTTCACAACACTTCCAAATATAACTGCACTAATGAAATGGGGATATTAAGATAAACTCTATTCAATAATTCAAAATAATATTGAAAAGGAAAATCTTCATCTACTAAAAATCAACTCCGCTACCACAAATCAACAACATTTTTGGAAGCTTTCTGTGAAACTACTAGAAGCAGCATCACGGCACAAATCAGTTCATTGTGGTTAAATATATATATATAATGTATATACCATGAAGTGCTGTGTTGTGACAGACATGGAAGGTATACTAGGTATCTAGCTAGTGCAGACCATCCCACAATAGGCAACATTGATCGGTTGGTGCTTACGCTCAAACGGGCACTGGCCTTCGCCTTCCTGTAGCTGAGCCTCAGCTAAGGCCAGTTGAGCCCGCAACTCACGATGACGACTCTGAATCAGAGACGAGGAGGAACCACTTGCTTCCTCACAAGTCTGACCGACAGGGAATTCGATGGAGCAATTCAGAGAAAAGAAATATATCCTTACAACTTATGGCTAGAATCACTTCAAGCAACTATGGGAAATTCATATTTTTAAGGATTGTAATAAAATTATAGTTTGATTAGTTTTGCATACATTTTTCCTAACCATTTTTATCTACCAGTATTTTTATCTACCAGTATACTGAGTTTTGACAGCTAAAATTCAATGTCCATTTTCAAAATTTCAAAATCTAATATCCATTTTTCTAGATTTCTGTATTTGGAAGTTGTACATTTACTCATTTGTTTATTATCTGTTTGCATATATAATCCTGTCATCTGATTTATGTAACAAACCGACATATCTCAACCTTTTTCATTCTTATATCAACTATACTGTTTAACCGTCCTATGATACAGCAAATCGCAGATAGTAATACAGAAACTCAGTCAGATGGAACGAAAGTCAAAAGGCTGGACAGACAGAGACATAATATATGTTTTGAATAAATAAGTGTATTAAAGAAAAAGATTTCAAAAGAGACAATCTGATCATTAACAGAATATATACAACAAGCTTTATATACCTCTGAGGGCCTTGCTGCTCTCTCATATCTCTCTGGTTTGGGTGGAGCACCATTAGACCCAGAGCTACTCAAGGTGTTAGTGTCGCAAGCCTTTTTGGGTGATTTACTAGGTGATTTATTAGATGATTTACTGGGTGATTTAGAGTTAATAACAACGCTGGTATCCTGATGATGGTTGGAAGTTAGTAGATGAAGGATTAAGGGTTGTGAAAACCATTAATGAGTTGATCCAAGGATGCATGGTTAGAAAGAAAACAGATGAAATGAAATGGAATTAGTTTCAAAGTTAGAATGCTTTATGTCCATCAATCACAACACCTGAAGGAAACAATGCTTTTTCATACATATTTACACAACCACACTAGGATGAGCTTATCCATAGAATGCTTGGAGAATTCTCAACCCTACATCAATGGTAGTGAGTTGGAATACATTATCCATTCAGGGTGATGTGTTCACATGTATAAGTAAGTAACATTTGGACGGAGGGGGTAGGGCACGTGAACACGCCCACATCACTTTCATTCAGGGTGTAGCATAGACAAGGCCAATAATAGAATGTAGTGATCATCCATGCCTTGTGTATACACATGAAAGGGGCTGCAATCACTGGGGTCAAAGGTCAACAGCATCTCAATTAGGTTGAACACCCTGCAAGCATTGGCCAGGTCATAAAACCACTATGCAGCTGAATTCCACAGCTAGCATTGATTCATCTTTTACAAGTGGTCATGACCCTTTGCCTCTTTAGAAAAACTGATAGCCATTTGGCTAGCAAATAACAGAATTAAAAGCATCAAGCATGGTTGATTTTATGAGTATTGTCATACGTAGATGCGTTTAATCGCTTCACGGTCTACGTCATTGACCATGAGAATTTCAGTTACGCTTTGTTCAGGCTCGACCTATGTCTAGTGGTTTGGCCAATGCTTGCAATGGTGTTTCTTGACATGAGGAACATTCCACTCCTGTTTTAGAGGGGTGTTTGTTTGAATGACCTTTGGAAAGAGTTCCACTGTAAGACCTTGACAGGTTGACTATCAATCTGAAGAGAGAAAGAAAGATAGATAGATACACAGACACCAGAGCTAGGGAGGAAGACATCACTCTACAAACCAGTTGATACAACCAAAGTAGTTCTATCACACGTGCTAAACCTCATTATATCCTACACTCTGGGTTGGTGGGTTGGGGGCCAATTAAAATGGAGTCACTCCAGATAACATAGGGTAAAACAAGAGAGTATGTGATCTTTATCTGGCTTTACATAGGGTGATATCAACGAGAAACCTCCTCAACGTCTAAAAGTAATGACCAACCTGTGGCGGGGACAGCCAACAAATTAAACTAATTATCAACATTTTCTCATATACTTCTGCCATTTGTGTTGAGAAGAATATGAATAATGATAGAGCTCTTTCGTAAGAGAAAGTGCTTGGAATATTAGGAACCCAACACCACAAGAGAGTATATGTCAAACAATCATAACAAAAATATTTGTCATATGAATTCATACCGTTAATGTTCAGTGAAGATGAACCACTATCTACTAAATTGAAGTAAGTTGACTATGGAAGAAAGAGAGTTCATTCTTCACAAGAAAGCTCATTCTACCTCAGCATTTAAATTTCATGAACATTTCTCTTACCTTGATTGTATCTGGTCTTTGTTGCTGGATTCGATGAGGATCATCGACCTCGTAAACCTTGAGTTCCACGCCTTCTTTGTTTGGTAAGATGGGTCGAGGGGGCAGGTCTTTCCAGCGACTTGACTTGCTGCTGCTTCCAGTGGAAGGACCACAGTCAGACGCTGAGGATCGGGGAACACTACGACTTCTTCTGGCACCTGGTAAAAGACAATGAGAAACAACATTTAATAACTTGCCAATGCTTTTCATTTGAGCTGATTATTTACATTTTCCAGTGAGTATACAAGAAGATAAGAATACAAGAATAGCGCAAACACATTTTGTTAACATAAAATTCTAAACAAAATACATTAAAATAATAGCTATTTTTCATTTGCAACTGTAACATTCAGAAGAAAAGTACAAGAGATTTTGTTAACGAATGCATAGGTGTGAAATTATTAGATTCAGAATTGAACATCTGTCTCACCTCCAAACTTCTTCCTTGGTAGTTTGCTGCCTTTAACCCGTCCACAGGATCCTTCACTGAGCGAGTCATGAGCAGAGGAACAGCTAGCTGTGTTCTCACTATCCCTCAGCATACTTTCATATCCACTACTGGTACCACTGGCACCATTGACCCTTCGTATGCCCTTGCTGGCAGGTACACTGTCACTGAATGTGCTGCTGTTATCACTACCATGTCCACTGCTAGAGCTCTTGGTTGTCCTTGGTTTGGTGACGGTGGAGTATGGAGAGAGAATGGCAGGTTTGGAGTTGGTGACGTTCTCACTGGAAGCTATACCACTGTCATTACTGCTGTCGGAGGAGTTTGTTAGTCGACTACCAGGCTGGAGCTGGGCGATGTTGTTGTTTGCATTGCGCATGCTGGGAGCTGGATCAGAGGTGCCATCCACCGATGTGACCGTTGTGATGGGAATCTTTGTTGAGGTTTGGTTTGTTCTGGAAAGTGATGGTGCTGACTTGCTTAGGGACTTCCTGACAGGGAGGGCACTTGATTTGGGTGTTTGACTGCGAGGGTTGGCCTGAGGTTTCTGGGGTATCCTACTTGTTTGAGCAGTCTTTTTGGAAGACGTAGGTGCACTCTTGCTTCCTGGATGGTTCTCCTCCCTGGATTTGGGGGGAGGCTTGCCAGTGCGGGAAGACATTTTGGAGGCTGCAGAGCTTTTTGAGGGTGTCCCATGATGACTTGGTTGTGGTAATCTAGTAACAGGACAGCTTTGAACAGTTAAATCACTACTCTTTGATATACTGCTGGCCTCTGATTGTCCACTCTCTTTCCTGCTTACAAGTCTCTTAGTCCTTGCCTCACTCACGGTCACTTTTGGAGGCTGATGTACCATGGCAATTGTCTCCTTGGTCTCACCAGACAGCAATGCATCATCATACTCCTGTAAGAAGTAGGGATTCATTTCCACTTCAAAGGGAGGTGCAGAGCAGGCACCAATTGCAGGAGGACGTTCCATGCTTGAGATATCAAACCCTTTGCCTCCATCAAATACATGATGGTCAGCAGGGATAGGCTCACTCTTCACATCTTCTGTAGCAGCTCCATCAGGCTTGCGGATATCAATGCCGTATAACTTCTCCAGATCAGCTAGACACTGAATCTTTGGCATGTCATTTCTCACAGCCATCTGATGTTTAGCACTTTGGATAGCAGCACTTAGAATACGAGGAGAAGGTTGCTGGGAAAGGTGCACATTCCTGGCTTGGACTGAAGCCACAGTGGCCTGATGCTGAGGACTATTGTAGAAAGACGCTGGGCTCGAGTTACTCAAGACTTCAGTCAATAGACGAGCTGGAAGGTTTTGTCTTATTCCATTTGGAAGAATGGCATTGGTGTCCAGATGGGAAACTACTCTGTTTGTGCAGCCATTCCTTGGTACCCCACTACTAGATTGACCTTGCTTGCCTTTTTGCTCTGTTGATGAAGAGACTGGAATGTTCATTCTGAGCCAGACAGGAGAGGTCTCTGAAGATGAAGGTGTGTATCCTGTCCTTCCTGTCTCTTCAGCCGTGTTGCCATAAGGACTATTCTGATACCACTGCGGTCTGATGAAGCCATTGCTGTGCTTCATGGCATCCATGTGGAGATTCTGCAAGCTGTTGATAAGATTGATAGTATTGGGTGAGGTAGGTTCATTCTTAGAATCCTCATAATTGCATTCACCGATAAGAGTCATATCGTCCTGATCTGCAAAACTGGCTGGACGGGAGGCTGTACTGAAGGTAGCATCTGTGGCATCGCTTATGCAGCTGAGTCTTCTCAATGGATGATCGAGATCATCAAGAGCTAAATGCTTCTCCCTCATTACTACCTGTTCATCGTTATTGATTGTCATGTATGTGACCACAGAAGGCTCATCCTGTAAGTAGGACTCGCCAAATGACAGATTGGGCACGTTAACTTCCGATATGTCATCATCAATAGATAGATTTTCATTGCTCATATTTGATATGACATAGAGCTGCTTAATGGCCTCAATGTCTCGTGCAGCCATTGAAAAAGAGTCGAAGGTGTCCTTTTCTGATTGACGCTCTGACCGCCGGGGACGACTTGACCCATCAGCAATCTCTGACTCATCATCTGAGTAGACATAGTTACCAAGTCCTAGTTTGTTTCTCTCATCATGCCCTAACAAGAGGAGGGGTTCATTAAGGCATGCATCCACACTAGCACCGTTGAAACTAATAGAGTAATTCTCAGAGTAGGAATCCAGAGACCTTCTTCCAAGTTCCTTTATGCAGCACATTGCTTCTGATCCCATAGGAAGGTCATCAATGGACATGTCTGTAACCGAGGTGACATCTTCTGTGTCTCTAGACACATAGCTCAGGGTGTCCTGCTCGGAGCATGCCAATGATGATATGTCATCCTCTGAAATCTCTGAGATTGGTTTGTCCAGGAATTCAGAAAGACCCTCTAAGGAATGGATGGTCCTCATCAGACATTCAGCATCAATACCAGCCTTCTTGAGAGCAGTAGGTGACAGGAGTCTCTCTACTCTTGGAGACAGTACAATAGGCAAGGCTTCTACTGCTGATGGTGTCTCAACGACTGGGTTTTCTGCCAGATTGGCAGCCTGGGTGGTGAAGTTAGCATCTGCATTTCTCAAAGCCGCTGTCAGTTCATCATCATCATCCTCTATATCTCCATTCACTTTGGTCTGACAATCTTCCCCTTTCTCTGATGCTGCATCATCTATTTCCAAGACAGGAGACAGGTTGCCACGCCCATTTGGGGCCAGTGGCATACCAGCCAATGCTGCTAATGCGTCTTCATCAGGTTCATCTTCACTTGTGCTATTGTCTTTCAACTCTCCATCAGATGCAGACTTTCCACTTGGCCTGTGCTCAAGCTCCTCGTTCATATCATCGTCTTCATCTTCCACCAGAAGAAAAGACCTTCCAACATTTCGCCTCTCTTGCGACATGTAGTTCTCAGCCTCTGTGTCGGAGCATGAAATGAAAGCCTTTGGTCTGGGTACTGTGATTGGCTTAGGCTTTGGAAGAGGTTTTGGTTTGTGTATGGCAGAAGGAGGTTTGAGATTGCTTGGGAAATTCTGTGGCCTGTCAGGCCCAGATATTCCATTAACCTTTGGGTCATGTGTCAGTTTCTTTTCTGAAGAGTGTCGATTCACCTTGGCTTTTCCATTTGACAACGCATCCTTGGCAGCTTTCTTCCTGTTCAATGATTCCTTCGTGCTGTCTGACCTCTTGGGAGGAAGTGGAGGTGCCTTTTTGGATTGATCCGATGGCTTTCTCTTGGGAGATGAAGATAGCTTAGGTATCAAGCTCTTAGATGACAATTTGGAAGATTTAGCACCTTTGTTAAAAAGAGATTTAGTAGTCCTTGATTCTGCATCACTGCCACCATCTGTATCTCTTCCTGACATCTCATTGGTGGAATCGGCATTGGCCCATCGAAACTCATCTATGTCCCTATCACTTGATGATCCACATCTATCATCCTCACTTGAACTCATTCCCTTTAGGATTGGAAGCGATGTTGGTGGTCCTTCATTGTCTGTTAACTCTCTATCGCTCAATGCACATCCATCGGGTCCTACATAGATGACTGTATCACAGGATTGTTCACTGCTTGAGATGTACTCGGGATCACTCTGGTTCACTGCATCCGTTACACATACTCCATTGTTTGCTGGAGGTGCGTAGCGACGTCTTCTTATTCGACCCTCATCACAAGAACTATCACCACCACTTGAACTAGTTCCAGAGTACTGCAAAATAGACAGACAAGAAACAAAGAATAGAATTAAGAAATAACATCAAACAAGGAAGCTCAATTGATTTGTTGACTCTAGCTTCAGTCTGATTTTTATATTAAACTTTATGTTTGAATAAAACAAATCTACAGTTTTCATCTGGGTTGAATTTGAAATCCATCAAAATCTTTAAAATTCTAAGTGGTCAATATTGATAACTAAAAGATTTATATATATCATGATATTGTTGATGAAAATATTTTTACCCAAGAGATAACTATGAAATTAAGACAAGTGAGAGTTTTTGGTTTACTAGAGGTAGTAGATGATGAATCAGAAGAAGGACTATGTCATGAAGTCAATGACCTGTATATATGATGTGATTCATAGCTTGGACAAGTCAAGATAAGCCTCAGCATGAGGGCAATGCAAGAGATAGGTGAAGAATACGAGAGAGAAACCCAGAAATCTAAGAAAGCTTGAGGGCAACAATCAATCAAACGCTCTCATCATAATGGAATCATAGTTATCCTGCCAAAAATAAATAATAAAGATGCATAAATATGGCCATGAAATGAAGCCTCCACGTGTTGTTTATGAATGGTACTTAGGCACATGGGTGACGACTTCAACAGATGCGTTGAATAACCCCAGGCAATGTACCCATCTTTATCTCTCTCTCTGTGTCTTGAGTAGATAGAGAGAGAGAGTGGAGGGGAGGATGCAATAGTGTCTGGTCTGATCCATCATTGGCAAAACAAGCATGCTTTGTCTTGTTAGCTTCTACGCATGCTAATGAATAGAAGAGGTGTCATGGGAGACAGTCACTAATCTCTCTCTACGCCCTACAGGTTCATTCCCGTTCACTATAACACCATTTAAACCTAGTGTCATCCGCACTCAGTAAATGGATTGGAGAGGAGTGCAAGATTTAAATAGACACTGCAACAAAATAATTTTATAATTTGGATTTAGCAGAAAGAAAACTTATGCTTACATTGCTTTCTTCACAGCTGTACACAATCACAAGTGTATGTAGAGTACAAACTTATGACTCTACAGTCAAAACAGTGTAAGTGATCACCAATATAATTTTAAAGACTCTTCTATTTGTTTCCCTTGAGCTTTGTTTCTACTTGCAAACCAACACAAAATTCACATAAAAGATAAATTAATCATTCTTTTTGCTCACCTTAGATTTCTTCTTCCTCATGCGATGTATCCTAGATGCATTCTGGATGGTTCCTAGTGTCTCTGCATAGTTGTTAAGGGCTGCTGAAGCATGTGCAATCATGACTGTTCGACAGGAAAGACTCCCCATAGCCTCACGTAACAGCCTCGTTAACATGCTATCCCTGAATAACAAATCAAAACCAAACAACTTTCGAGTCAAAACCAAGTGTCTGAGTGCATTTAAAGGTGACAGTCATATGGAAGGGGACAATTCTAGAGAATTTACTTCAAACTAAATCCATTAGTAAGCACTGCAGTATAAATATAATTTTTACCAATGTAACAAAAAATTAACACCCCCCCCCCCCTTTTACTAGACTTGATCAGTATTCTTTTAACTTTCAGTGATGTTTTCCTAACATTCTCTGTCATAATGAAGACAACAAATATTGAGGTTCTTTTTATGACCAAGTAAAAATGAGAATAGTACCTTTAAGTTCTTTCAGTTTCAATCGCGGTAAAGGATAACAACATCATTCTCACAAAACTATCATTGAGAATAATGCTAAACACAGGAAGCCTGAAACCACAATTTTTTTTAATATGATAGATTTCTGGCTCTGCTAATTCACAGGTAATCTTTTTGTTTCCCTTTATTTTAATAGACAAGCTTAATTACCTTTCAGAATAAACAAAATCACTAGATTTGTTAAAAATGCAAGACCTAAATGTATATTCCTGGACACATATACAATTACTTATTGAAATACATATATATATATATATATATATATATATATATATATATATATTTGTGTATTTCAAATTATCAAGATAAAATATACATATCTATTTCTCCTTGGTTTTATAAGTTTTAACTTCGTATTAAAAGAATGTGCAAATCATGTATAAAAATTCTTTTAACCTTGAATACATCCACGGTCGCTAACCTGAGGTAACTCATGAAGAGTAAATTAATGACTCTCACAAAATATACTCTACTGTAATTGATATAACAGACTGAAATGAGTACGCAGGGGAACCTATCACACACCATTATGAATTATATTCAATAACAACTCATTTATATGCCATTATACTTCACACATAGCATCACATGATTGTACATTGAAACATAATAGACTGAAATAAACACTTATATCATTGATTGGAAGTAAGGGATCACATGAGTTATAAGATCATTATAGGTGATTAGACCTGTAGAATACAACTCCCATGGCATGGGCGGCGGTTTGAATCAAAGAGATGTTGTATGAATATGGTTTTGTGATTAATAGTACTATCAAAACAACATTCACACATCATCAAAGGCACTCAACAAATATTGACTATGAGATATGAAAATGTTTTTGGAGTGAGCACATAATATTCTGCTTTAATAATCCACTTCAATACCATAGAATCTGCATGTTTAAAACCCATACATAGAAGACACATCTTCAAGATTCATCTTAAATACAAGGGGCACTTTTACATGAGCCATGTCTCTACCCGGCCTGTGAACCAGTAGACTTGGAATAAATATATGGATGTGGGTCATGTTGAGACGGAACAAAGTCGGCTTTAATATCAGAAAAGTAGGCCAGAGATCTTATATTCTTAATAAAAAGCCCAATTGGTTTACTGAAATGTCTGGAGGCAAAGATTAACATTTATTACATCCAAGTATTTCTTAATTGCTAATAACAGTCTTTCTCCTCCTTCCCCCTTAGAATCAAGTGAAATCCAATTGAACATGGTCTGTAGAGATGCATGATTTAATTTATACAAATAGGTTTTGACCTATATAGTTGGGAATGGAATAGTAATCCTACTTCAAGAATCAGCAATTCAAAGATAGAAAAACAATCCAGAGAATTAAGAAAAACAAAGAAAAATCTGAATGAATAATATTAATAGGATATTCTTACCTGTTAGGTATATGCTTTTGTCCATTCAAGACAGCCAGGATGACGTTACCGAGGGCGGAGAAGGAAAGTGCAGCGCCGTTAGCAGCTCTGCCCCCTCCCCGGTCACCACTACCAAGGTCTATGAGATGAAGACGACTCCGCCCACCAATGACTCCGCCCTTACCGGACTTGTCGATGCGGTACTGGTAGACGTGGAGGGTGAAGAGCATGTGGGAGTATCGCCCATCATGTGCCTCTTCTGAAAATGTAAAGGATTCAACATTTTGTAATACCGGAATAAAGATATTTCTAATACGGTAACTTTCAAGATACTTGTTTTTCCTGATCATCCTTTTCCATGGATTTCGACTTATGAAATATCAACAATGTAAATTTAATATGAAATTAGTTAGAAATGTCACTACTAAGTAATCTTACGACATGATATTAACAAACAGACTAGATTGTCATAATTAAAGAACTCACCATTCTTGCCTTTGGTGAGTCTAGTAGCAATAGCAGCATCCAGGTAGAAGGCTGCCTTCTCTGCCGTGGGTGCTCTTAGTTCATTCTGATTCAAGAGCTGTACCCCACAGATGGGATCTTCTTGGAGGTAGAGGGCTGGTGACGTGCCACATCCATTGTTACTCCCTACAAAAACAAATATGGTAAGGGTCAAGTGCGACTTGGGGTGGCATTATGGATAATTGATGTGATTTTTTTCCTTACAAAAATTACATTCCACATTACAAAATAATCATTGAGTATCGGGTAATGCATTCACAAAAGGCTTGTGACAAGTCAGACATCTCAATATATGGTTACAGGTAAGACTCAATCAGGATTATTGGCTATCATATGTACATTTTGTTTGTCAATTTTTAGTCTAAAATCCAAGGCATTTTCCATTTGCCAAGTAAATAATATTAACTATGCTAACTCACCATTTGCTTGTTCAATAAGAAGATCTCTAAGCTTCTCTTGCTTGCCATAAACCTCTACGGCCGAGACTCGGACTGAGAACCTCGTGCTTGTCTTCTCTTTCTTCTCGTTGATGAGTTTGAAGAGCCACGCTATGGCAGATGGGATCACTCCAATCTTGTGTACAGACTCATCAGATCCAATCATTGTGTAGGTCTTGCCTGATGGGAGAAGACGAAGAACAGATAATACAGATTGTGAAATGGAAGGCTTGGAAAATGTTCAGCTGATCACAATGATACCTATGTGATGTATAGGGTGTTGGGAATGGTAACATAGATGATGTAGTGGTAATGTTGATGATGATGATGATGATAAGTAGGGGACTTAAGGGCAGTGATAGGGATGAAACATTGTTATCAGTAGTACTTGCAATTAATAGTTATTAATTGTAAATATGATTCAAAGGAATGCTGACATATGTTGTAAATCCTATATACAGAGGTAGAAACAAATCATCGTATTTAAATTGAACTTCTGGAAGAGAAATATTTTAGAGAATATTGATACTTTATTACACTCCAAAGCTTGCACTTCTTACACATTGTTAGCTTGTGAGTCCATAATGATAACATATTGATTGATTCTTACCCTGTCTTGTTTATTTTGGGGGTGTTTTTATTGTTATTCCAAAAGAAATATTATTCTACCAAACAATTCCTGTTCTAAGTTTTATTCATTCCATTTACAAGCGCAATTTCTCTCTCACTCGACCAACAGACAAGAACATACTGAGAATCGATGCGCATCAAGTAGATCTTGCATTGTGCCAGATTCTTTTCATATAGAGATTTCATCGATCAGTCACGGTCTAATATTCATTTGGAAAAGAATTTTCTGGTATTCACTTCATGAATTTCGTTGAAAAGATATATCAACTCAATTATCTCTTTTCTCTTTCAGCAGGGATGGCCCACAAACCGAGAATACATTAATTAGGCATTAAATGTGGAGGTCTGATCATTGTTTGAGATTAAGTGTAACTCAGCGTGACATCTGGAGCAAGGAACGCACCCTTCCGTGAGACAAGAAGATGACATGGTTTGTGTCACTGCTGCAATTTCAGCTTTTGTTAGCTGGGCTGCGCTTGGCTGGTCTATGAATGTTGTTAAACAAATAAGATACCCCCAGAACAGTCAAAAATAAATCAATATGTGACTGGTACCGGTACGTCACGACTGGTACGTCATGTCTGGTGGTCAGAATAAGGACATATATGGTCAATACTCCTCCCACGTCAACATAACAACTTCCTGGTTCATACATCCACACAACAGCAAACAAAGTTTCCCGCAGAATATGAACATTATAATGAAATGAAATCTCATTTTCGTGGATATTTACAGTTCTTTTCTTAAATAAATCATTTGAAGGGCAATACAACCCAGTATGTTATTGCTTTGAATGGTCTAATATATCTGTGAAAAGGACACAGAACTCCATGTTCAGAAATTTTACTCATTTAAATTGATTACGTTTGCAAACCACTATAGGGTGTAGAGTAATTGCGATACTGCCAAAAAGAGTAAATCTGCCGGTGGATGTTTTGAGATATTACTCAATTTGATGATTCATTTGCATGAATTAGATAAATTCTGGCTAAATTGATTAGGAATTTAGTTGTGTTTCGGGGGAAAAGAAAGGACTTGTTGCTTCCTTGGCCGAGTACAAATTGCACTGCTGCGCTGGAATTTTAGAGATCGATTGAGGATTAACCGTATGGCTCTAGGTGACCGATCAGCTATGGCGCTGGCGGTCGTGCATGGTATCCCAAAGCATGCCGGCAGGTATACAGACGTAAGCTGGATGATAAAAGAGCTATTTTAGGGGGATAAAGGCCGACGGGGGAGCCACCTGGGGGATATAAGGGGGGTTATGTACTCACCCAAATGAGCATGACCATAGCAAAAGAGACAACCATCCGCTCCATTGACTACAGCCTGCACTGTATCAGCTACACTGCCTGCACACACCTCAGCCTAGACAAACAAAACAAAGCAAAGAAGAAAAAAACCTAAACCAATTAGAATAGAAGAGGGAAGAATCATATTAAAGTAGAATGAGTCAAAGCAGTGGATTGATATTTGGGAAAACACCTCATAATAAAAACAAGCCGCCAAAATAAAATTTGGAAAACACCTCCTATTCATTGGAATGTAAAGTCACACAAATAATATCAAACACTCTAAAATAACGATCCATATATTTGCAGGGTTGACTGCAGCTCTCACAAATATCCTGACAATTCTACTTCTGCAAATTTAAAGAAAATGTTTGCTTTATTTAATGAAAGCAATTCTAAGCTGTAAGATATTCAATCGTCTACTCATTTTTCATTTTGAAATCTTATAGAGCATGAAAAACTAATCGTTCTGACACATCTCGGACTAGAGAATGAACTTCAGGAGTTTTTGTTATGTTTTTTACAATGCATAAGTTTTTAAGTTAACACAAACCTGTGAGGGAATTTCACATGAAAGTTACACATTTCATGTCACATTATGTCACCTATATGTATACATTCATATTTCTTTTCAGAGCATTTGCTTTGGTTAAGTAAACATCAAAAATATTAAATGAACTTTGAGTGCAATTTCTAGATTTTCTAGGTTATTTCCCCACCAGACACCATTTCCTACTCTGGCATGTAACCACAAAAAGAGTATTGCAATGCATGATCTAATAAGTGCTATTCAATTGTCTCAAAAACGTTTTGATGGCAAATTCCTTAGCCGTCACAAAATCAATTCATGTACATTCAACATTTTTACACGCCACTGCCCTTCCTAATGAATCTATTGTTTGTTACTCAAGTGGAAAACAATGCGGATTTGCTAACGACCAATTTATAACTTCCACAATTGTTCTCTATATATGGGGCTAGTTAACTGCCATGACGAAACCTTCAAGTAATGCTTGGGAAACTACAGACATTCCATAAGGAGTCAAGCAAATCATTAAGACACCTGTCTTTCTCTCTGAGGGGGCTAGACTATCAAGAAGATAAGTCTCTTGCATTATATTCTTATTCTAATGTTAAGTATAAATCAAAGAACACACCAGAGACACTTCCGCTGTCTGATAACCATTATGCATTAGTAATTTTTATTCAAATATCTTGCAAAGCTGCAAATTCATGGGAAATCCCCAAACAAGCATGAGACTCTTTCTTTTCAAAAGTATATTAATAAATGCTGCATCACTATACTTTTTACCCCTCTATTCATGGCCCCTTTAGAAATATTCCAGGAACTTTCAAAACAATAGAGTTAAATTTGTTTTGTGGTGAAACAGAGGGATGCATGATTGCATTGGACATGATCGACTTGTCTGTATTTCACCAGCCATGAAACTCAACCCCACCTTCATATATTTCTCTTTGGGGCAAAATCCCAAATACTTCAGTAGTGTCACCACACAACTTCTAAACCTCAAGTCTTAGTAATTCTCTTGTACAAATTTATGTAAATGTGATATAATTCTGTTCATGAAATTATGGTTTCTTTCAAGGATTCATTTACACCACAAGAAAACCACTATCAAAAAAAGAGAGAAAAAGTGGTTAATTAAATTTATTTCAGAAAAATGATCAGGCATTATGTTACGATTTACCTAAGAATGACAAGGATATATCAAACTCATTCGGTTTTCTGATTTGCGTCACTGTTTTGCAGCCTTGAAAAGATTACATTGCTGTATGCAACAGAAATGTAGACAAACACAGAGGTTTATTAGGAGGTCAAACAGAAAAAAAAATAGGTAGACAAACCAAAAAGGTCATGATGTAATTAATAATATCTCATTTCATTATTTAAACTTATTTTCAGTAGCCAAGCCACAAGGTATAAAGTGAATGTCTGTTTGGAGCCAGAAGGGGGTCAACTCTGTGAAAAGTAATGAGTTCATGCCTTTCTGATGCCAAAACAGACAAATTATGATGGAATGGAAGAAGAGATTGAGGGATGACATACCTGTGATGCATCATGGGGGAAGACAGCATCGAAGGCAAACATCTTAGGTGCAGCCACACCCGCCCTACGACCTGCTGTAGATACATGACCGGTCAGGAAGGAAGGGTCAAAGAGCGTGACCTGTTTCTTCTTGGTGTCCACGGTGACAAAGGTGGCTGTATCACAAGGGTTACCTGATGGTATCACACGCAGCATCACTTTCACCTGAGAGAGAGACAGAAATGTGAAGATAACGAATATGAGTTTACTTCTAAAATGGACAAATATGAAAGCTTTATCACCAAGTGTAAAACAATTGTGTCTATACATTTTACATCTTTCAAAATATCAAATGTTCATGACTACTTTAGCTCCTTTTATCTCTTAGCCTTTCATAATTTTTCTCTCCTGATCTCAGTGCAATTTTCTTACTATATATTTTTCTTCTACAGATTCATATCTTTGATATCCTGATAATCAATTCTTTGTTATTCTGTTTGACAAGATTGAAAACATTCATGTCAAAAATATGATTCGCGAAGGACATATCATTTTTCTTTGTAACACACACAATGTTTGAATAAATGCTGTTACAAAAGATATGATCTGTTCATATTGGTTGTCAGGGCTGTCTATTCTTCTCTCTACCAGGTAATAGATAGGGTTCATTATTTCATACATTATTTGTTGTTCATGTTGTATCAATGTAGACATGAACTGCAATTAAATGGGAATTAATCTTAGTATATCTGGCAAATGATTGTGGCTGATTGATTTCATGTAAGTTTCTTTGAACATCCTTAGCAGAATCAATCATGCTTTGTGATAACATCTCAACCAATTTTTCCTTTTATAAAGCTTGTTCAGTTACAAGCCTCTAAACACAATGAATGTTTGGATAGAAATGACAAAGACTATCAGTCTTTTTGCTATCATTCATTGATCACAAAAGGAGGTAAAGTGAGTTACATTGTACAGCTCAATTACATCTACGCTGCCTAAATTTCTCAGGCAGAATTGATCAATTGTGCACTCTCATTCCCCTGTTTTGATTCGAGCAAGGATTTGATAGCATCGGCTAGCCTGTCGCCAGGCAGACTGTGTCTACCAATTGTGTATGATGGTGAGGGAATGGACATGGGGCTTTAGCTTTTCATGAACCTATCCACCGACAGACGGCGACAAGAGATTGTATTGCTTAGTCCCTTGGTGCTATCATCATTTCTATTGTGTAGAGGTTGTATGCTGGGTGAATGGGGATGGACTTTTGAGGTCTTTGAACTACCCTGTCGTCTTACAGAGAGTTTACCCTGTATGGCTAGCTAAATACTGGTAATACAACAAAAATGAACTCGGTTTCAATTTCTAACACTATTCATCAAACAGGGGGAACACGAAGCAAGACAACAAAACAGACCCTGGCCTAGATCAGAGGAGGTTTAGAATTATATTCATGCAAAACAATTCGGCAAGCAATTGTTCTCACAAAGGACCATTTATTTCACATTTTTCTTCCATTTCTATTAGGCTTTGTTCAAGATCCATCGGGCGCATCCTTTCAATTCTCTCCAAACTTTATTGAAATATCCCCATCCCATTTCAAGCCCCTGTTCCGTTACGGGGATCACCGAGTAGATCCATTGTGGAGGGTTGGTGGTGCGAGTCGTGACCCAAGACTTCTGATGAGGTTACCTCATTAATCATTAAGGTTTGACAAGATCAAAGACCAAACGCCGGCACCAGGAGTTCTCCTTGCGTGAAATAAAAGATTGCGTTTTGGTCCAAATTTGAACTCTAGCCACCAATAACCAACACATTATGTATATGGCATAACCAACAAATTGCTAGTTTATTATTCATGAGGTAGGCCTATATCTGAAGGAAAAAAATATCTGAAAGATCTCAGAATTGCGATTGTCCAGCCAAACACCTGCACTTTAACGTAAACTGTTTTTTAAAGGCTTATTCCTCATCCAAAATCTCCCCAAGATGATCTTCCCATTCTACTGTTCCAAACAATGATGACCCTATTTCAATTTATTTTTGATCAGCTCTCAAAAGTCAGTAAGGTAATAAAAGGAACAAAATTGTGATAATCCCTTGCTAACAACATAACTACCACCCTCATCTTTCAAATTAAGCCTGTCAAATTTCCCTTCTTCAGAAAATAGTACAAAGGTTGAAAAAGACATATAGAAAAACCATTAACACTATCCCTATGACCTCCCATACCATGCATAATACACTATCACATTCTCTCTCTGCTTTCATATGTCACCCTAAGTATAGTATATGACAGGTTTCAAGAACACATTTAACCAGCGGATTTAATTCTTTGTCGCCTTTTTTGAAGTGTCCTGTTTATAGGATCAAGAGTTTGAGGGAAGGCATCCTCAATTTATCACTTAAGGCCTCCCACAACTATCTCTTCACAAAGAATAGGATGAAGTTATTTCAACAATGCATTTTATTGTTAGAATGTGGTTTGATTGTGTTTGGGGTGAGCCATTAATGACAGTAACGCTTTTCTTGAGTATGTCTTGAAAACAGTTAACACTGTTGATGATACACAAGTATTGTGCTCTATAATTGTGTCTTCCTTGAGAATACTCGCTTTGTTGAGATTCAATTTTGTCTATCTTCAGAGTGTGCATGTTTAAACTAGATAAAGATTGAAAAGAAGAAGAAAATGACTGGTCTCCACCTCTAATTCATTACAGCATATGGGGGTCATGCTATTCCATATCTTAAAGCGTCATTGGACTAATCATGGTGCAATGGCGGTCGGCACTCATCAAACTTCACAAACGCCACATTGTATACAAGTGAATGAAAGAAAGAAAGAAAAAAAAAAAAAAGGAGAAAGTGAAAGTGAAACAGGAACAAACATATCAAAAGATATTTTGTAGAAAGATATAGCAAGATGAAAGAGAAAAGTTAAAATGAGAGAGAAAGGTAATATATATCTACTTAGATCATCGTACTAACAGAAACACACAATAAACTTAGTTAAACAAAATGTAATTCTTGATGAGCTTAAAACTTTCATAGTCTCAGATGACAAGAATGGAGAAGAACAAGAAGGCTAGAGATAAAAAAGGAATACCACTCCAGTGAGTACCGCAGTAATGTATCTTCATGTGGCTATAATTTACATACCTACAACTGAATGTGTGGTCACATTTGATGAAATGCGGTAAAGAAATCTTGAATGTTCTTTGCTCAGTATCCCATTGTTGTCTCATTCTTTCAGTGGAATAATTGGCTTATGGTTTTACCCCATCAAGTTTTTTTTATAATATGACGCCATATGTGTTCAAGCTTTCTTCTTGTTTAGATGTCTGCATGACGATGTTGCAGTGCCAGTATCAAATAACAATGCTTTTCAGAACTTTGGAAAACAAAAAGCATGCTTGTTTGAATCAGATTTTCAAAGTACCATTCATCTGGAGAGATAGTGTTTTGTTTGTTTCTGGATGTTGGTTTGTTATGAAAAGTCTTCAAAATCCAATTTGATAAAATTCAATTGCTTTTTAATATGTTGCATCTTCTGAAGAGAGTGAGGATTCGATAATGTTTGAAATGGACTTGCATTAAAATGTGTTTTCACTGCGCACCAAGGTGCTAAATGCAAGCCTCACTAAAATAACACTGGACAGCAGAAGAGGCAGGCCAAAAGATAACATTAGTATTCATGCAAGAGGACCTGCCCTCCTTCTCTTACTGCTTGTGGCAGTATATATGATGCAATGTTTATGCAGATAAACAAGACATGTGTTGAACCCCAAGTTCAAGGAATAAGAGAGACAGACAGACAGGATGATGAAGATGATAAGATTAGACACACCGATAGTTGCCACCAGTTCAGAGATGAGCTATCGGCACAACCCACGCCACATCAATCGTTTTAGAGCAAGATTTCTTGTGTCGCCATCGTCGGCTAGGCGTGAATCACGGCAAATGCTTCACCGCAATGCTGCCGCAAGCCGCGTGCAGGGCTGGAGGAACGTGTGCGATAATGCACACCAAGAACGAGTTCCAAAGAAAAGGGACAGTGAGGGGACTACTCTGTGTGATATGAGTCATATCACTCCATCGTTGGGGGTAACCCTCGCGAGTGCGAGAAGCAAGCTAGACGGATCAATGTAATTCACTCTGAGTAACTTGGTTTTCAGAGTGTTAATGCAATTTCCACTTGTTAATCGAGTTGGACGGAATTGCCCACAAGCATAAATGTTTATGATTCTCTATTTCTCCTCATCTTTCCTCCTTCTCCTTTTGGTCTTCTCTCTCTCTTTTCTCTTTCCCCAGTGAGGATGGATATATGTGACCTCAGGAGAGACACAAATCCTAAATCTGCCCCTTAGGTATCAATAAACCAGCCCTCTTACATGGTCATCAAGCATCTTTATAGCAGCAGCCGCTCACGCACTAGAGCATCCTAAGATTACAAGTGTTTTATCTAGTGAGGCACTCTACTTGGCTGCTCTGTCAGGTCATGGTGTCAACAGGAATTATAGAGGCTCATTCAAACAAACTTGTTCAATTAATATCACTCCCACATATGATGTCATATTAAGAATAAAACAAAAGGCAATTATATCACTGTTAGCTTCTTCCGTGAGTTTTTTCAGTACTTTGAAAAAATAAAAGCAGTGTTATATTGACAAAAGTTATAATTAAATACAAAAAACTAACCAAACAGGTTCAATGGGTTAACACTATAGTCATATATAGAATCCAAGAGAAAGGCAAGATAAGGTAATTAATATTTGCCCCCCCCCCCCCCCCCAAATTTAAAAAAAAAAAAAATATCTAAGGAACTAGGTTCATATCTTCATCTGATAACCATCTTTTAAAGAGAAAATTTCTCTCAACAAAGGGGCAGAAAATTCTTTTGTTAGTTGATAACAGTGATGTTTTCCATCCAGCATGAAAGAAAATGCAATACACTAAGGAATTCCTGTGCCATCATCCTTTATTGCCCAACCACTCTCCTGTTTTCATCATCCCTTTTTTTTTCTCTCTGTAAACTTCGAAAGGGACATTAAATGCCTATATATTCCAACAATTTGAGCAACCCGAGCAATGATAACTATACGAAATGCGTGATTGAGGGTCTAAACATGAAGATAACGAGGGATGGAAGACAGTAAGCTTTCAGGGGCATGTGAAGAACGGGAGGATGGTCCTTTTAATTGCCCCTAGCACTTTACGATAATGCA